AGAGATGACCAGATTGTATAAATTCCTTCCCACACTGGTCACATTCAAATTGTTTCTCTCCTGTGTGGATTCTCATATGTGATACTAGAGTGCCTGACCGTGAAAATGTCTTCTCACAAATATCACAACTGTATGGTTTTTCCCCTGTGTGGATTCTTATATGTTGATGGAGGGCACTGGAGTGACAAAATCCCTTCCCACACTCTTCACATTCAAATGGTTTCTCTCCTGTGTGGATTCTCATATGGTCACTGAGAGCACCAGAGTGTTTAAATTTCTTTCCACACTGGTCACAGCTGTATGGTCTTTCTCCTGTGTGAGTTCTGTAGTGTCTTTTCAGGTCGGAAGCACTTGGCCACACCTTCCCACACTGGTCACATGTGAACCCCATTTTGTTGGTGGATCTTGTAGCTCTGCATTAGAACAAAGGAAAGAAAGTGTCAAGTAAAATCTATTTTTTAACTGTTCAAATAAAGTAACTGTAACTAAATAAACATAAAATCACACACAGTAAATCATATGTAAAAATGTTTCAGTGAGTGTGTTTACATGCACATCAGTATCACAGTTATGATCAGGTTTTTTGAATATCCTGGTTTCATCATGGTGCATGTTTACACTGTATCCTGAATAAACCAGTATCCCGGTTATGAGAAACTGGGATAATGTAGCTGAGAAATTCCGATAGTAACCGGGATACTGTGGCGTGTATACGCAGTATCCCGAATACTGCAACATAAAGTTGAGAGCTCATGCACTTGTCCAACACTGTTTTAGTTGACTTGTTTTTTGTGGCGCTTGTGCAAAGTGTGTAAAATGCTCCATTACCGCCAGGATGTATTTGTAACACTAGTCGGCTAGATTGACTACAACCACGGTAAATAACGAGTAATTACAATTGTCAGCATCAGAAGGCTGGTCCTTAAAGGAGCCTGAGGTGTGAATAAAACACAGACAACCTGTATTAAAGATTTAAAGATAAATGTATTGATATATATTAAATAATAATTAAACAAACAGGACAACAACAGTAATAGACGGTATTTAGTATTTGTATTATTGTTTGAAGCAGCGGTTGAATCCAAAAGAATAATAGTTCCAGTAATAAAGCTACGTCACTTCATTCATAAGAAAAAACAAAATGGAAGCCTAGAGATTATTTAGTGTTCACCCAAAAAGCTGTCAAAATGGACAAAAAATTCAAAAGGAAAAAATAATGAATGATAAATGCATGGATGCTTCTAGTAAAGTAGATTGTTATATACGATTCGGTTTGACTGTAAACTTAAAAACGTTCAATATTTAATGAGTATAATGTGTGTTTGTAAAAGTCCCAGCGCGAGTAAACGGAGCTAATATCCACAGGGTTTTGAATGGGAGCGGAGCGAACAAACAAGACGCTAAGTGCGATTTAACAACACAAATACGAACTAAACACAAAAATAATTCACCGATTGTTGCTCAACAACTCACCGATGAGGAAGAGACAGTTTGGAATCCGAAAAATCCTCCAATTCACAGGTTTGTCCCTGACGCAGAGCTGAACATGAACCACAGTGGAGTTTTATTGACCAACAACAACTGGAGCATTACCGCCCCCCACTGGTGAGGAGTGTGAACTGAAACACCACTGACTAATAACTAAATAAAAATAAACGCATAAAATAATAATAATAATACTAATAACAACCGTGATCAAATAATAACTAAAGAAAAAATAATGAATCAAATCCTGTTAATCAAATTAATATCTCAAACAAACTTCAATAAAACTTTAAAACTACTATTTCTTGTGTGCTGCTGTAATAGTTCTGTTAAATCAAATTTCATTTTAAATCCTTGATTCCTTCCTTCATTATATTTCTTTCCTCTTTATATGTGTTACGATCCATAAATACATGCTCTACTGTTTCTGGTTGGCCACAGTTGTCACAATGTCCACTATTATGTTTTCCTATTTTATGTCATTTATAATTTCATCCTGAATGTCCAAACCATAATCTAGAAAATAAAATATCTATTTTCCTGTTTCCCACTGTACACCTCATTGACCCCACTTTTTTCTGAATTGTATGGTCAGTGGTATCATAAAATTAAAAAAGTATATCTTCTCTCGATATCCTACGAAAGAGCATTGTAGTCAGTGAAAAAAATAATAATCTGGAGGGGGGAGGGAGGGGGGATTATCTCGTAATTACGAGATAGTTTATTTTCCCTACTAGCATCAGGATCCGCAGCGGATTCGCTTTCGCTCCGCCAAATCCGCCCCACAGTCCGTCCGCTTTGCGGATCCGCTGCGTATTTGTTCCGTATTCGCTTTCTGACTGTTGCTAATCCTAACCCTTGGATGAGCTGCTGTTACAGAGAGAATCTGCGGTTAAATCATCTTAGATCCGCACTGTGAACGTACTTTTAACACAACACTTTGTTTCTGACACATTGATTTGTTCGATCAATGCGCGGATTCGCGGCTAAACCAGTTTTCCACCTGAGTGGAAAGAAGCAGCATCCACCTGTTGTCCGCGGATTTAACTGTAAGTAATAGTTTAAAAGTGAATTGTATTAGTCATCATTAATGTACATAACGTTAACATTATATTGTGGTGTGTTTACATGTGTGACTGTGTGTGTTTTATCAGTTTGGACGAGTGCAGTAGGAAAGTTAGCGACAGGAGCAGCTGACGTGATGAAGACGATGTGAGGTCAGGAGTCAGGATAACTCCATCTCTTGAGGTAGATCCCAGTCTAAATACTATTTTTATATAACGCTACTTATATTTTTGTATATTTTTACGATCACAGAATTGTAATTCTGCTCCGTGATCATTGGTCGTGTCTAACGGGTTCGGTTCTGGCTGGACGCCGCTCTCGGCGCTCTGCCTTCGGCTGTGGAGCGACGGTGACACCGGTGTCTGATCTGGTTGTGTTTTTAACCAGAGATAATTATTATTTGTGTAGACTAGAGTGTTGACTGTTGAGTTGAGACTAAAAGTGCATCATGTCAGTGCCTTAATACAATAATTTAACGCAACGTGCCATAATACAATAACGTAACGTAATAAAAAGCACAACTTTTAACAACAGCTAACGTTAGCTAACCAACCAAAACTTATGTTGTTTTTCCAGATGAATTGTTCCAGACTGTCTTCTGCTGAGTGTCTCCATCAGGACTCTGTCCTTCTGCTGAGTGTCTCCATCAGGACCCTGTCCTTCTGCTGAGTGTCTCCATCAGGACTCTGTCCTTCTGCTGAGTGTCTCCATCAGGACTCTGTCCTTCTGCTGAGTGTCTCCATCAGGAGCCCGACACGCTGATCAGAAGTAAGTACTTTTAATGATTTCTGTGACAGTGAGGATTTAGTTTGGAGTCAGATCTGACTTTGTCTCTAACTTTCTGTTCTGGGACTTGAGACGGGGCTTCAGACTTTCAGTGAGAGATGTTGACATGAACACTAATGTGTCACATCTATATTACACTGATATTGACCATGAACACCATCATAAATTGATTATTATATTTTAAATGTTGTGGTAAAAGTAAATGTAGTAGAGTATTGTGTATTAACAGCAGTGAAATACGTCTCATGTTCATACTCAGGCTCAAACTAAAACAAAAGAGTTCAGTTTTACTGCGCTAAAGTATTTCCTATGAGTTAAATCATGTTTTTCATCTCTGTTTCAGAATATACTATGGTTAATAAGAAGATGGACATAACAGCCTGATAAAGACCCTCTGGAGGTAAAAACTGCACTTGGATTAAACCCAAAACAGGTCCCAGGCGGATCCGCGAGATACACAGCGGATCAGCCGCGCCTCCGCCGCGGATCCGGGCTTCTTTTGTCGGATCCGCGGTCTGTCTCTACATTTTTGGAACTTGGCCCAGCAGAGGGAATCCACAGTATCCCGGTTACTATCGGGTCCGCCTGGGACCTGTTTTGGATCCGCTTTCGGAACCGGGTTATCTGCCCCGGATCTGCCGCGGATCTGTTTATTGTGTCATGAGGAGCCTAAATATGCTTCAGATTTAATACTGATCCACTTCCTACTGACCTAAATACACACCAGCAGCATTTGCATTGTAAATGTAAAAGATAGTATCTCGTAATTACGAGATAGTATCTCGTAATTACGAGATAATCCCCCCCCCCCCCTCCAGATTTTTTTTTTTTTTTCACTGACTACAATGCTCTTTCGTAATATCAAATTCTTTTTGGCATTTTTCCTCCTCCATTTTGAAAAAAAGAAAAAGTATGAAATAAATGTAATCCATTTAACAAATACATTAGAATTAAATTAATTAATATTATAAATGGTCTTTTTTATTGTAATAATGTAATCTCATTATTACTTACAATGAATAAAAACATTCATAAATAAGCTAATTTAACAGTTAACACTTCCTCTAGCGGCCACATGGAGAACTACAAGTGCTTTTGCGGATATCTGCAGTTCTCACTTTTGTCCACACGATGGCGACAAACTCCGATGAACAAAATCAGGAAATAAAAAAAAAAAAAAGCAGGTTAAAAAGTTAAATTTATTTTATTGTAAGCTGAATAAGTGTAACTAAGGACGAAACAATTTCAATAAAAATGTATATACAAGTAAATACAATTTAGAAATATTTTAATGACAATACAAAAGAAGACTTTAGAGCTTCCTCTGGTGATGGATTTAACTAGATAATTATAAACTCCTTTCAATCAGAACAGAACAGACATTTTAGTTGAAATATGTGATCAAAGTTTATTCATTTTCTTTTATTTACACAGTGGCACAATCTCCCTCAGGTTTTGGAACACAAATGGTTCTTTTGGGGTAAATTGGTGATTATTGCAAATTCATTCATTAACAAGAATATTCCCACTCATCTGTAATGGCTGAACACTACAAGCTTATCGTCCAGTGAGATTCATTTGGTCTTCCGATACTTTATGTTAACATAAAGTATAGACCAAATGAATCTCATTAAACTACAAGCTTATGTTCTGTACCAGGGCCGTGAACATAAACTTTTTTTTATTTTGTATTATTCAACAGGTTTGTAATAATTATAATTCAATATTAGATTAATTTGTTTAAAAGGTTCTATATTATGTAAAATAGACTCCTGTGAGCTTTAAGTCCTGTTCTAATGCTGCTCCCTCCTCAAAAACAGACCTGGACTTGTGTTTTGTCTCCTGCATTATTACATTATCTACATCTGCAAAACACTAAAACAGATTCTAATTCTAGTATTTTACTTCACGTTTTTCATCACAGCAGCCATGAAAAGAATAAACCTGAATCTGTGGGTTACTAAAAAGAGTCAAAACAGAATAAAAAGACAAAGTGCAATTTCAGGTCTGTCTCTGATTAGGGAAGTGCAGTGAAGCAGGACTAAAGACTCAAAGTGAAAAACAATACAATGAAGAACAACATGGACAAACTAGGGATGCACCGATACGATACTTCCTTCATATACTCCTACACGTTAAACATTTGTTGATATCACGCACCGATAGCACAATCACACGACACATTATGGAGTATCCCAGTTACAGTATCCAGAATAAGCCAGTATCCCAATTATCACAAACCAGGATATTGTAGGTGGGATATTCCGATAGTTACCAGGATACTGTGGCGTGTACATGCAGTATCCCAAATGTGGCAATGTTAAGTGTGAATACGTCCAATAGACAAACAACATGTCTGGGGCAAGTTTATGACGTGAGGTCGACTATAAGAACCAAGGAGGAGGAAGGAGCAGTGAGGACACAACAAACATCATGGACTACAACAAGCCCATCATCTTCACTAAAGTGTGAGTGTTATGAGAATTATTTACACCTTTCAGTCTTTACATCAAAATGGAGCCGACATAAATGAAGTGACTGTGCATGAGTCAAATGATGTTAAATAAAGAGCTGCACTCTCTGAAAACATGAACCATCTCTGAAAACATGAACCATCTCCAACACGACAGAAACACAGAACAGACTCAACATCAGCAGCACATCCTCTGTCACAGAGAGAACACTCATATTCCACTGAGTCGTGTCCTTTAGTCCAACAGAAACTGAACCACATCAGGTCACGTTTATTTTTATTTTTTTTCAGTGCTTATAATTTATGCAAATGAGTCATAAGGTTTAGGTTTTGTTTCTGTAAAATGTAAACAAATGTGGCAAAGCTGAATTAAACACATTCTAATCTCATGGTTATTTGTATATTTCACAGTTTATTAAATATATAACTTCTGCGCTTGCACATTTGTAAGATTATGTCGAGAAACTGGGATATTCCATCTGATCATGTCACTGGGACATGGGACATGAGTGTCCCGGTTTCTCAGCGCATGTGAACAGCACATCCCAAATACTGACATAACCGGGATATGGAGAATAAATGGGACACTCATGTGTATGGAAACACACTCAGTTTATGTTCATGGGGGTGGGGATTAACGTATTGGTATCGGTGCTCAGTATCGGCAAGTACAGGTTACTATAAGAATTATAATACTCGTATCGGTTTTCAAAAAAGTGGTATCAGTGCATCCCTGGACAAACTTCAACTAAAACCTCTTCCTAATAAAAAATATCTTTACATATAATTTAAAGCTTTTAATTGTTGACACTACATAGAGCTTAGTTTCACAGTCTGGAGTCTCTGAAGTCTGATCTCCAGCTTTTTGAGTCTGAGTTTAGTCTCACTTGATTCGGCCTCAGCAGCTCTTTCTCCTTTAGTGTGTTCAAGAGGGTGCACATTCAGATGACCAGCTTGTCTCAAAGTCGTCCCACACTGGTCAGAGCTGCAGCTTTTCTCTTCAGTCTGGAACATTTGGACATGTTTCAGACGGTTCCTCACAGACCTGAAATCCTTCCCCTCTTTCTTGACAGTCGTCTGGTTCGTCTCCTGTGTGTGTTCGGTAGTGACTGGAGAGCTCCTGGGATGTTCTAAAAGCCTCTTCACACTGGTCACACTCATATAGGATCAGCCAGGAGTGAGTTCTCATGTGTGTATTCAGATTGGATGACTGAGAGAAAGATTTCCCACACTGGTCACACTCATATGGCTTCTCTCTTGTGTGGACTCTCATATGTGATACTAGGGTGCTTGTCTGTGAAAATGTCTTCTCACAAACATCACAGCTGTATGGTTTTTCCCCCGTGTGGATTCTCATATGTTGATGGAGATGACCAGACTCTGTAAATCCCTTTCCACACTGGTCACATTCAAATGGTTTCTCTCCTGTGTGGATTCTCATATGTGATACTAGGGAGCTTGACAGTGAAAATGTCTTCTCACAAACATCACAACTGTATGGTTTTTCCCCTGTGTGGATTCTCATATGTTGATGGAGGGCACTGTAGTGACTAAATCCCTTCCCACACATTTCACAGTCAAATGGTTTCTCTCCTGTGTGGATTCTCATATGTTCACTGAGCGCACCAGAGTGTTTAAATCCCTTCCCACACTGGTCACAGCTGTACGGTCTTTCTCCTGTGTGAGTTCTGTAGTGTCTTTTCAGGTGCGAAGCTTTTGGCCACACTTTTCCACACTGGTCACACTCGTATGGTCTCTCTCCTGTGTGGATTCGCATATGTGATCCCAGGTGGCTTGACAGTGAAAATGTCTTCTCACACTGGTCACAGCTGTATGGTCTTTCTCCTGTGTGAGTTCTGTAATGTACTTTAAGTCTGGAAGCATTTGGCCACACCTTCCCACACTGGTCACATGTGAAGGTCATTCTGTTGGTGGATCTTGTAGCTCTGCATTAGAACAAAGAAAAGAAAGTGTCAAGTAAAATCACTTTTTTAACTGTTCAAATAAAGTAACTGTAACTAAATACACATAAAATCACACATAGTAAATCAGATGTGAGAATGTGTCAGTGTTTTACATGCAAGTTCCATTTAACTGAATGAATCAACTAAGTTTGTATTTTATTTTAAAGTCACACTTTTTCTCTCTGTAGCAAAAAAAGATCAAATGAAGGAAACATAAACAGAGACATTGAACAACTTTGTTACTGTGATTCTAATCCACATGTTGAGCAGATCTGATAAATGTGACACACGTGAAGACAGAATCCAGGGCTTTGGTGGAACAGAACAACTTTAATTGTGTAAAGACAGAAAAACAGCTCTGCTGAGTCATGGGGACTGACCTTTAACAACTGTTTACACTGAACTGTGCTGCTTCTGCTCTATGACTCTGCACTAATACTTTAGTCATTACACACTTATTTACAATATTTTCTGTTACAGGTTTTGTACAAAGAAAAACAAGTTCATATAAATATAAATAACCCTGAACTTGACCAAACACAAACGTATTTTCATGTGCTGCTCTAATCAGTCTCTTGTATCAGCAGAACTTGAAATGACAGATTATAGTCGTACACAACAGTAAACTTCACATTAATAAACTAAAACATGATTTATAAACATTTACAGACAAACACTGAAGAGCGCCGTTAGCATCGATGCTAGCGGCAGGTAACAGATCGTTTATTACAACAGAATAACTTCAAAATACAACTTGGCTTCATAAAACATATTTGTAGACTTGTATAAACATCCTGTGTTGTAAATCACGTGGTGCTTGTGCATTTAACCCACCTGTAAACACAGAAAAACACAGAATAACAGCTCTTCTTCTGCTGCGCCCGAGAGCTTCAGTCTGCCTCAACTGTGCCATTACCGACACCTACTGGACACATGTGGTTTTGCAGCTGAACCTGAATAATTCTCTGTGAGTAAAAGAGCCACAGAAATGAATCAAAATATAATCAAAACATTACAACATTAAAAGTGTTATTGGAGGTGCATTTTTACAACATAACTAACATTTTTCCCCCTCTTATCCAAATTGTCCCTTGAGTACAATGGTTGCCTGTTATATCATTAGTATCACTTTTGTAATATAAAATGACCTTTTGTAAACATTTTGAATATCTGGAGATACCAACTTTATATAGAAATAACCAAATATTTCCTCTAGTTAAATGAACAATTTCACCTTTAATTGAAACATTAACTTTTTACTTGTAACCAGACACAAAATCGGCCAACATTTTCTCTTTGTCTGTCACCATCACGATGTTTAATTCAGACACTTTTGGCACGTGCAATAAACTCAACAAATCTTGTGCTTTTTCTTAAGCCTTAGCATTTCTGTTTCTAGTCTTTATGTCACTGAACCAGTTTTAATAAGCTGCTTGTGAGGAGTGGGACGCCCATGTTTAGAGTTAGGGATGATTGATGAGCTGCTCCTGATGCTCCTCAGCCTCGGCACCTCTACGCTGCGCTGGCTGTTACGGCCACAGGGCTCCAGCTCCTCCTGGAGCCATATACTGTATGTTTAAGTCCCTGCTGTTGATCCCTGTGCGTGTGCAAGCCTCCGTCTGCCAGGCCCCTGCTGTGATTGGTGGAATCAATTCCAGCTGGCACCTGGGTCCCTTCCAGCTGATTGGTGCATCGCACTAACACCTGGTCAGTCCTGAGGCTACAACTGCAGCTGCCACACCTATAAAAGGACCTGCCCCCTGGCACTCACAGCTGCTGTTCTGCTGTGAGCTGCAGGCCACTTGTTGTGTCTCTTGAGTAGCTTTTTCTCGAGACACTATGAGTCCTTTGTGACTTTGAGGAGACTGGTTTGTTCTGTTGTTTTGTGTTATTATAATTTGTACAACCTAATTTTGTCACTTTTAGTTACACAGCTGACTAGAGCCTCTTTTTGTTAAATATTGTAAATATCCTCTTTTTGTTAGTGTAGCAGGTACTGGGCCGGAACTTCTAACAGTTTAAAATATTTGTGTGGAGAGAGGTTGGCACTGAAATAAACAAAATAAATGGAGACTTTAGTTTCTGATGCCTTGGCTTTCTGCTACTGCTGATTAACTTTAATTGTACATATACACAATACAAAAAATTATAATTTACACAGAAATTACATTTATGTACAATATTCTTTTCTTTCCACTCTGTAATAACAGTTTTAAGTTTCCATCGTTTTTCGTAAATAAAACCGTGACTATTTATAAATGTTTATTGCCTATTAATCTGAATTTTACACTTTGACTGTTGACTGGATACAGCTACACACCATGTGTCGTTTGGTCATAATAATATTTACTCTGTGAAACTTCTTTCTGTGCTGCTTTAGCTGTGATCTGATCGGCCTCGCTCATTTGTGACTGTCTCTTCTGCACATGCTCCTCAGAGCTCATGGCTTGTTGTTCTTGGCTTGGCAGGTTAAACAGAATGTCTATTGGGAGTCTGGGGCTGCCGTAGAAAAGCAGGTAATATGCTGAGAACCCTGTGGCGTCACTTTTAGTGCAATTACAGGCGTGCGCTACCTTTGCCAGTGATTCTTTCCAGTCGGTCTTTTCACCGCCTGTGAGGCTCGTCAGCATGGAGAGCAGGGTCCTGTTGAAACGCTCCACCTGCCTGTTCCCCTGACGATGGTTCAAGTGCGGTGTGGGAGCCGCCGAGACCACAAGTTTGCTGGAGCCGGGAGAAGAGTTGATTTTTGAATTCTCGGCCGATGTCGTGATGGATTCTCACTGGAAAACCAAACTTGAGAGCAAAATGCTTCAATATCTTATCCAACACTGTTTTAGCTTTTTCTTGTGCAAAGTGTGTAAAATGATCCATTACCGCCAGGATGTATTTGTAACACTAGTCGGCTAGATTGACTATGACCACGGTAAATAACGAGTAATTACAATTGTCAGCATCAGGAGGCTGGTCCTTAAAGGAGCCTGAGGTGTGAATAAAACACAGACAACCTGTATTAAAGATTTAAAGCTAAATGTATTGATATATATTAAATAATAATTAAACAAACAGGACAACAACAGTAATAGACGGTATTTAGTATTTGTATTATTGTTTGAAGCAGCGGTTGAATCCAAAAGAATAATAGTTCCAGTAATAAGTTCAAAGGTTCACAGAAAAATGTGTGCAGATGTATTTTTGTCATATATAAGTTTATCAATATATAACTTTGTAAATTAATGTCATCTATCTTATTTCATTTTCATCCTGCAATCAATCAACTATTAAACAGTCATCAATAATTCATTCATTAATCAAAAAGGGAAGAGTACTTTTTCATATATCAAAAATACTCAATTGTACTCAATAAAAAAATAACTTCAAAATGCAGATGATCATAAATAATTAAAGCGCAAAAGGTTTAAAAGGTGTTTTATTTACAATTTACAATTTCAATGCAAATGCTGCTTGTGTGTATTTAGGTCAGTAGGAAATGGCTCAAGATCAAACCTGAAGCATATTTAGGCTCCAAACGACAGAATAAACAGATACGTGGCAGATCCGGGGCAGATAACTCGGTTCTGAACGCGGATCCAAAACGGGTCCTGGGCGGATCCGGGCTTATTTTTACGGATCCGCGGTGCTTTTTGCTCTCTGGGTAAGTGCTATTTAGCAACACAAATACGAGCTAATCATAAAAATAATTCACTGATTGTTGCTCAACAACTCACCGATGAGGAAGAGACAGTTTGGAATCCGAAAAATGCTCCAGTTCACAGATTTGTCCCTGACGCAGAGCTGAACATGAACCACAGTGAGGAGGAGGAGGAGACAGGGAAGTGACCTCCGGGGCTTAAAGGAACATGAGGCACAAGTAGAACATCCAAACAAGTAGAACATCCAAATAAGGGCTTTAGGAAGTGCGCCGCACACATTCACATCCATGTTTGTGTGTCTCCCAAAGTCCTTTCTGTCCCACGTGTCCCATTTCTTTGTGCAGCTCTGAAGACAGTGTCATGTTTTTCCTTTGGGAGGAGGAGCTGAGCTCTACCATTGACTCGCCTGTAGAGGGCGACATCCACATTCACAGAACGTTTGTTCCACTGGAGGATTTTTACATCTGGAACAGGACCGTACACAAATAAACTTTTTTTTTTTTTTTCAAATTATTCAACAGGTTTTTAAATAATCATAATGCAACGATAGATTAATATGTTTAAAAGGTTGAATATTATGTAAAATAGACTCCTCTGCGGTTTAAGTCACATCTGGAACAGGACCGTAAATACACACGCAAATAAACACTTTATTTTTTTCAATTATTCAACAGGTTTTTAATAATCATAATGCAACGATAGATTAATACATTTAAAAAGGTCAGATATTATGTAAAATAGACTCCTCCATCGATTTTCCTCCGTCCTCCAGGGGGACCCCGAGTCGTTCCCAGGCCAGCTGAGAGACATAGTCCCTCCAGCGTGTCCTGGCTCTTCCCCGGCGCCTCCTCCCACTGGGACATGCCCGAAACACCTCCCGAGGGAGACGCCCAGGAGGCATCCGGAACAGATGCCCGAACCACCTCAACTGGCTCCTCTCGACGTGGAGGAGCAGCGACTCTACTCTGAGCTCCTCCCATGTGAGACACGAGAAACAGACTCCTGTGAGCTTTAAGTCACCTGGAATTGTGTTTTGTCTCCTGCATTATTACATTCTCTACATCTGCAAAGCTCAAAACGCTAAACCAGATTTTATTTTCCAATTCTAATATTTTTCTTCACACTTTTCATCACATGATCCATGAAAAGAATAAACATCTGTTGTGGGTTGCTAAAAGACAAAATACAATTTCAGATCTGTATCTCTGATTAGGGAAATGCAGTGAAGCAGGACTAAAAGCTAAAAGTGAAAAACAATAAAATGAAGACAACATGGACAAACTTCAGATAAAATCTCTTTCTAATAAAAGAATCTTTATATATCATTTAAAGCCTTTAATTGTTGACACTACACAGAGTTCAGTTCCACAGTCTGGAGTCTCTGAAGCCTGATCTCCAGCTTTTTGAGTCTGACTTTAGGCTCACTTGATCCGGCCTCAGCAGCTCTTTCTCCTTTAGTGTGTTCAAGAGGGTGCACCTTCAGATGAGCAGCTTGTCTCAGAGAGTCGTCCCACACTGGTCAGAGCTGCAGCTTTTCTCTTCACTCTGGAACATTTGGACATGTTTTAGACGGTTCCTCACAGACCTGAAATCCTTCACCTCTTTCTTCACAGTCGTCTGGTTCGTCTCCTGTGTGTGTTCGGTAGTGACTGGAGAGCTCCTGGGATGTTCTAAAAGCCTCTTCACACTGGTCACACTCATATAGTATCAACCAGGAGTGAGTTTTCATATGTGTATTTAGATTAGATGACTGAGAGAAAGTTTTCCCACACTGGTCACACTCGTATGGTTTCTCTCCTGTGTGGACTCTCATATGTGCTTCTAGGTAGCATGACCGTGAAAATGTCTTCTCACAAACATCACAGCTGTATGGTTTTTCCCCCGTGTGGGTTCTCATATGTTGATGGAGATGACCAGACTCTCGAAATCCCTTCCCACACTGGTCACATTCAAATGGTTTCTCTCCTGTATGGATTCTCATATGTGATACTAGGGAGCTTAACAGTGAAAATGTTTTCTCACAAACATCACATCTGTATGGTTTTTCCCCTGTGTGGATTCTCATATGGTTATGGAGGACACTAGAGTGACTAAATCCCTTCCCACACACTTCACAGTCAAATGGTTTCTCTCCCGTGTGGATTCTCATATGTTCACTGAGCGCACCAGAGTGTTTAAATCCCTTCCCACACTGGTCACAGCTGTACGGTCTTTCTCCTGTGTGAGTTCTGTAGTGTCTTTTCAGGTCCGAAGCTTTTGGCCACACCTTCCCACACTGGTCACACTCGTATGGCCTCTCTCCTGTGTGGATTCTCATATGTGATACTAGGGAGCTTAACTGTGAAAATGTCTTCTCACAAACATCACAGCTGTACGGTCTTTCTCCTGTGTGAGTTCTGTAATGTACTTTAAGCCTGGAAGCATTTGGCCACACCTTTCCACACTGGTCACATGTGAAGGTCATTCTGATGGTGGATCTTGTAGCTCTGCATTAGAACAAAGGAAAGAAAGTGTCAAGTAAAATCACTTTTTTTAACTGTTCAAATAAAGTAACTGTAACTAAATACACATAAAATCACACATAGTAAATCATATGTGAGAGTGTTTCAGTGTTTTACGAGCAAGTTCCATTTGACTGAATGAATCAATTGCATTTGGTGTTGCAGCTGAACCTGAATAATTCTATGTGAGTAAAAGAGTCACAGAAATGAATCAAAATATAGTCAAAACATTACAACATTTAAAGTGTTATTTGGGGGTGTCTTTTTTATAATGAATATGAAAAAAAGTTTAATTATTTTCTCCCACTCTTATCCAAAGTGTTCCTTGAGAATAAAAGTGATACCATTAGTATCAGTTTTGTAGTATAAAATTACCTTTTGTAAACATTTTGAATACCTGCAGATCCCAACTTTGTGTAGAAATAACCACATTTTTCCTCAAGTTAAATAAACAAGTTCACCTTTTTATCCTACCACAGGCAGATAACAAACATATTTACACATGCAGAACAAACACTTTATCAATATATAACTTTGTAAATGAATGTTATCAATCTTATTTCAGTTTCATTCTGCAACCAAGTGACAAATGAATGAACAAACGAATGAATGGTTCTAATAAAATAGATTTTTCGATCTACAATTCGGCTTGACTATAAACTTAAAAACGTTCATATTTAATGAGTATAATCGGTGTTTAAATAACTCCCAGCGCGAGTAAACGGAGCTAATATCCACAGGGGTTTTGAATGGGAGCGGAGCGAACAAACAAGACGCTAAGTGCGATTTAACAACACAAATACGAACTAAACATAAAAATAATTCACCGTTTGTTGCTCAACAAACTCACCGATGAAGGAAGAGACAGTTTGGAATCCGAAAAATCCTCCAATTCACATGTTTGTCCCTGACGCAGAGCTGAGCATGAACCACAGTGAGGAGGAGGAGGAGACAGGGAAGTGACCTCCGGGGCTTAAAGGAACATGAGGCACAAGTAGAACATCCAAACAAGTAGAACATCCAAACAAGTAGAACATCCAAACAATCAAACAAACAAGTTGTTCAGTCAAATCGGTCTCTTATTAAGCCCAAAGTCCTTTCTGTGTCCCATTTCTTTGTGCAGCTCTGAAGACAGTGTCATGTTTTTCCTTTGGGAGGAGCTGAGCTCTACCATTGACTCGCCTGTAGAGGGCGACATCCACATTCACAGAACGTTTGTTCCACTGGAGGATTTTTACCTCTGGTGCCTCTTTTTGAAAAACTTGGCCTTTGGGGACTCACAGTACTCAGAGGTTTTGTGGAGCAGGACAGGGACAATAACAGAGTCTTTTTCTGGACTTGTCCTGGTTTTTATGATTTCTCAAAAGAAAAGAGAAAACATGCAGATGTTGTTAAATTTTTTCAATAAATATTTAGTTTGACCCACGACTTAATTCCAGTTTTTAATTTTGGCCTCTGTGAATTTGAGTTTGACCCTCCTGCTCTACAGATTTAGAGCTGGCAGAAGACAGCCGTACCTCAGTTTGTTTTTATTTGAGGGGGAATTGCCAGAGTGAATGTTTCTGGATAATGTGTCCGACAGAGTGAGGCACTTTGAGGTGTTTCTCCTGTCAGGAGTGTGACCATGTGGCCTCAGTATGTAGGAGGTTAAAAGATGTGAAGATGTGGAAGTGACAGATGTGTGAATGAAGAATGTGAGACCGTTGACAAGGAACCTCCGTGCGTACATTGTTCTGGAAACATCATGCTGGATCTAATGAGTGTCCACGGAAAAATCTGGAAGTTAAAGTAAAGTGTTTGAGAGTCGAATCAAGGCTGACTTTAGGCTTTAGACTGAGCACGGTTCGATCCTTGGGCACGGTTCTAAATTCCTAGTGAGTGCACCTTAAGTCCTCCGTCAAAGCAGTGGCCCGCGGCTCTTCGGTGCAGATGTACAGCAGACTGAGGTCCTCTGCTGCTCTCTCGTCTGTGTTGGTTCATCCTCTTGTGAAGCGGCTGTTTAGTTTCTCCAGTGTGGCGCTCACTTCAGTCTTCTCTGCACTGAATGGAGGAGACCACATTGCTTTGTTTGTGGCTCGGTGTTTTGTCCTTTGGTTGGACCAGTTTCAGTTTTAAAGTGTTTGTAGGTTTGAAATAGACCGGGATCTCATGTTGTGTGAAAATCCTCTTTCAGAAACACCAGCCATGTAGGGAATAGTTACTCCCTTTCTCCTGGGTTTTGATTCTCTGTTGTCCTGTTTTTTAGCTCTTTGTTTTATTGAAAGCCCATTTCAGATCTCCACAAACAGAGAGACTTTCTGCACATGTTGTTCTTCTTTCATCCACTTGGGCCCTGTGTCCCAACGCCAGAATAACTCCAAGTTTGTTTTGCAGTGGTGGTGAGAAGCAAAAAGCAGGTACTGGTCCGTGCGTGTGGTGCTTCCTGAAGACCTCAACCTAGAGTCGCCGGTCTTCTTCTATCGTTACTGCACAATCTCAGAGAGCCAATGTGTTCTCCTTGGCGTCTGAGTGGATTTGATGTTAGGATCTACAGAATTAATATGTGCAGAAAATGTTCCAAATCTTGAATTTTGATTTTAGAAAAGTTATTATCCACATAACGATGCCAGTGCGTGGATACGAGGCTCTGTTCAAACACCTCACACCCTGTTCACCTCACACTCCTCACCAGTGGGGGGCGGTAATGCTCCAGTTGTTGTTGGTCAATAAAACTCCACTGTGGTTCATGTTCAGCTCTGCGTCAGGGACAAACCTGTGAATTGGAGCATTTTTCGGATTCCAAACTGTCTCTTCCTCATCGGTGAGTTTGTTGAGCAACAATCGGTGAATTATTTTTATGATTAGTTCGTATTTGTGTTGTTAAATCGCACTTAGCGTCTTGTTTGTTCGCTCCGCTCCCATTCAAAACCCTGTGGATATTAGCTCCGTTTACTCGCGCTGGGACTTTTACAAACACACATTATACTCAGGAAATATGAACGTTTTTAAGTTTAAGTTTACAGTCAAGACCAATTGTAGACAACAATCTAGTTTAGTAGAAGCATTGATTCATTATTTTCCCTTTTTGAATTAATTTGGTCCATTTTGACAACTTTTTGAGCGAACACTAAATAATCTCTCGACTTCCATTTTGTTTTTCCTCATTAAATATGAATAAAATGACGAAGCTCCGACTGTTTTTGATTTGTTGCGCAGCTTTAATTATTCATCTGATCATCTGCTCGAGTATTTTGATCTATTTAAGTCATTTGATTTATTGAGTACAATTGAGTGTTTTTGATAAATGAAAAAGTGCACTTCCTTTTTTGATTCATGAATGAATTATTGATCGGTGACTGTGTTTAATAGTCAGTTGATTGCAGGATGAAACTGAAATAAGATTGGTAACATATTAATTGACAAAGTTATATATTGATAAAGTGTATTTGTTGTGCAGATGTAAATGTGTCTGTTAAACATGATACAGATGCAGATGTTTTGTTTCAAACTTATTCCTTTGACCTTCATAGGTCAGGTTTGTTTTTCTATGGACTGAAACTGAACCTGTGGACTGTGACCCTCACCTCTCCTCATGATGACGAGCTTCCCAGATCTGCCTTTGTGGTAGGATAAAAATACACCTGCACACATTTTTCTGTGAACCTTTGAACTTATTACTGGAACTATTATTCTTTTGGATTCAACCGCTGCTTCAAACAATAATACAAATACTAAATACCGTCTATTACTGTTGTTGTCCTGTTTGTTTAATTATTATTTAATATATATCAATACATTTAGCTTTAAATCTTTAATACAGGTTGTCTGTGTTTTATTCACACCTCAGGCTCCTTTATAGGTTGTATGGAGTATTTTTTTTGTTTCAAATTGTCAGTGATAGATTATAGATGCAGTCGCCTTGTAATTATGATGACCAAAAAAAAGAGAATAAAAATTCATCAACTCTGGACGTGGTGGGGCTAAACATTTGCCAATAGATAACGACACTGCCTCGTTATCTGTGAGCTGACAGGCTGTCAATCAAACTCCCTACGTTTCTAGTGTAACTGACTTGCCTGCGCCGCCGGTACGTGGTTTACGTACGTCTGTCACGCAGTCCACAGACGCAAGACGCACAGACGCTGTTTACTCCACCAACACAACAGTTCTTAGCGGCTTTTTTGACCTATATCTTCCTCGCAGTTCGCACAAAGTTTGTTGCGATGGCGACAAGAATCCAGGAGCCGTTTTTGAGGTCGCTGAAAGAAGAAGACAAGGGGAAAAGCAGCGAAGCCAAACTAAGGTGATTCTTGGAGATTCATTCCAGCGATGGCGCAACTGAAGCAGACGCAGGGACTAAAGACTGAACCACTGGTCCACAAATTACTCCTGGACAGGAAACTTCTGCTTATTATGAAAACGTACTTTATTTCCAAGAGCGAGACAAACGTTTTTCAGGACATGAATGCGATATCCTATGTCTGAAAACATAATTTTCAATGCAAAGAAAGAGTCCGCTTGTTGCTGCGTGTTGTAGCTAGTTCATTCGCACGGAATCTCCGCGCAACCTTCTCTGCACCGCTCCCCTCTCCTCCTCTCTTCTCCCTGCTCCTCACTTCTTCTCCGTGCACGAAATGTCCGCGCACCCCCTCCCCCCGCTCCTCACTTCTCCGCTTTGCCTAACCAACACTGTAGTTAGTTGTTTACAAGTCATGTGCAGCGATGAGGACTTGTTTTCTAGAAACAAACCTGTTTGTGGCGTAAGGAGGAGGAGGGGGGGTGGTTTCACGCAGGAGCAACATTTGAAAAACGACAAACAGTTGCTGGATTTCTCATTCCTTGGAAAATCCTCTATACAACCTTTAAGGACCAGCCTTCTGATGCTGACAATTGTAATTACTCGTTATTTACCGTGGTCGTAGTCAATCTAACCGACTAGTGTTACAAATACATCCTGGCGGTAATGGATCATTTTACACACTTTGCACAAGCACCACAAAGAACAAGTCAACTAAAACAGTGTTGGACAAGTGAATGAGCACTCAACTTTATGTTGATATTCAAAAAACTCATTCATAACTGTGATACTGATGTGCATGTAAACACACTCACTGAAACATTCTTACATATGATTTACTATGTGTGATTTTATGTGTATTTAGTTACAGTTACTTTATTTGAACAGTTAAAAAAGTGATTTTACTTGACACTTTCTTTTCTTTGTTCTAATGCAGAAATACAAGATCCACCAACAGAATGGCCTTCACGTGTGACCAGTGTGGGAAGGTGTGGCCACATGCTTCCGCCCTGATAAGACACTACAGAACTCATACAGGAGAAAGACCATACAGCTGCGAAGAGTGTGGGAAGGGATTTAAACACTATAGTGCTCTGAGTGAACATACAAGAATCCACACAGGAGAAAAATCATACAGATGTGATCTTTGTGAGAAGACATTTTCACGGGCATGGATCCTAAAATTACATGTGAGAATCCACAAAGGAGAGAAACCATTTGAATGTGACCAGTGTGGGAAGAAATTTATACACTCTGGGGCGCTCAATGAACACATGAGAATCCACACAGGGGAAAAACCATACACATGTGATGTTTGTGGGAAGACATTTTCACGGTCAAGCAACCTAGTATCACATGTGACAGTCCACACAGGAGAGAGGCCATACGAGTGTGACCAGTGTGGGAAAGCTTTCAAACATTCATCCAGTCTCAATAAACACATGAGAACTCACTCCTGGTTGATACTATATGAGTGTGACCAGTGTGAAGAGGCTTTTAGAACATCCCAGGAGCTCTCCAGTCACTACCGAACACACACAGGAGATGAACCAGACGACTGTGAAGAAAGAGGGGAAGGATTTCAGGTCTGTGAAGAACCGTCTGAAACATGTCCAAATGTTCCAGACTGAAGAGAAAAGCTGCAGCTCTGACCAGTGTGGGACGACTTTGAGACAAGCTGGTCATCTGAAGGTGCACCCTCTTGAACACACTAAAGGAGAAAGAGCTGCTGAGGCCGGATCAAGTGAGACTAAAGTCAGACTCAAAAAGCTGGAGATCAGGCTTCAGAGACTCCAGACTGTGGAACTGAGCTCTGTGTAGTGTCAACAATTAAAAGCTTAAAAAGAAAATCTTTATTATTTTATTAGATTTTAGCTGAAGTTTGTCCATCTTATTCTTCATTGTATTGTTTCTCACTTTGAGCTTCACTGCACTTCTCTAATCAGAGACAGACCTGAAATTGCAATTTGTCTTTTTATTCTGTTTTGACCCACAACAGATGTTTATTCTTTTCATGGCTGCTGTGCTGAAAAAAGTGAAGTAAAATATTAGAATTAGATAACAAAATCTGGATTAGCATTTTGAGCTTTGCTGATGTAGATAATGTAATAATGCAGGAGACAAAACACAACTTCAGGTCTGTTTTTGAGGAGGGAACAGCATTAGAACAGGACTTAAAGCTCACGGGAGTCTATTTTATATAATATGGGACCTTTTTTAAAGAAATTCATCTATTATTGCATTATAATTGCAAATTAAAAAGAAAATAAACTTGCCTTCTTTTTTGTCATTTAATTTCCTGGTTTTGTTCGTCGGAGTTTGTCGCCATCGTGTGGACAAAAGTGAGAACTGCAGATATCCGCAAAAGCTCTTGTAGTTCTCCATGTGGCCGCTAGAGGGAGTGTTCACTGTTAAACTTATTTATGAATGTTTTTATTCACTGTAAGTAATAATAACAATATATATTTACAATTGAAAAGACCATTTGGAATATAAATTAATTTAACTTTAATGTATTTGTTAAATCAATTACATTTATTTCATACTTTTTCTGTTTGAAGTATTAAAGTACTGCTCAGACCTTGTGCGCCCTCATGTGGACAAAAACTAAAACTACACATATCCCCAAAAACTGGACTTTTATCAAAATATTCCACTGTATTTACAATAATCACGCACTCTTGATACTGGATTTAAAATGATAAATATTTTAACATTCCAAAACAACAGTAATAGAAATCGTTGAATAATTAGAGTATAAATATTTAATCGTTTTATGATTTAAAAAGTGGGGTCAACGAGATGTACAATTTGAAACAGGAAGAAAAAGAAAAAAAAAGAAAGATTTTTTAAAATTTTCTAGAATAAGGTTTGGACATTCATGTTGAAATTATAAATGACATAAAATAGGAAAACATAATAGTGGACATTGTGACAACTGTGGCCAACCAGAAACAGTAGAGCATGTATTTATGGATCGTAACACATATAAAGAGGAAAGAAATATAATGAAGGAAGGAATCAAGGATTTAAAATGAAATTTGACTTAATAGAACTATTACAGCAGCACACAAGAAATAGTAGTTTTAAAGTTTTATTGAAGTTTGTTTGAGATATTAATTTGATTAACAGGATTTGATTCATTATTTTTTCTTTAGTTATTATTTGATCACTGTTTTTATTAGTATTATTATTATTATTTTATGTGTTTATTTAATTTAGTGATTAGTCAGTGGTGTTTCAGTTCACACTCCTCACCAGTGGGGGGCGGTAATGCTCCAGTTGTTGTTGGTCAATAAAACTCCACTGTGGTTCATGTTCAGCTCTGCGTCAGGGACAAACCTGTGAATTGGAGGATTTTTCGGATTCCAAACTGTCTCTTCCTCATCGGTGAGTTTGTTGAGCAACAATCGGTGAGTTATTTTAGTGATTAGTTCGTATTTGTGTTGTTAAATCGCACTTAGCGTCTTGTTTGTTCGCTCCGCTCCCATTCAAAACCCTGTGGATATTAGCTCCGTTTACTCGCGCTGGGACTTTTACAAACACACATTATACTCAGGAAATATGAACGTTTTTAAGTTTACAGTCAAACCCAATTGTAGATAACAATCTACTTTAGTAGAAGCATTCATTCATTATTTTCCCCTTTTGAATTAATTTTGTAGATTTGGGCATTTTTTTGAGTGAACACTAAATAATCTCTCGACTTCCATTTTGTTTTTCCTCATTAAATATGAATAAAATGACGAAGCTCCGACTGTTTTTTTTATTTGTTGCGCAGCTTTAATTATTCATCTGATCATCTGCTCGAGTATTTTGATCTATTTAAGTCATTTGATTTATTGAGTACAATTGAGTATTTTTGATAAATGAAAAAGTGCACTTCCTTTTTGATTCATGAATGAATTATTGATCGGTGACTGTGTTTAATAGTCAGTTGATTGCAGGATGAAACTGAAATAAGATTGGTAACATATTAATTGACAAAGTTATATATTGATAAAGTGTATTTGTTGTGCAGATGTAAATGTGTCTGTTAAACATGATACAGATGCAGATGTTTTGTTTCAAACTTATTCCTTTGACCTTCATAGGTCAGATTTGTTTTTCTATGGACTGAAACTGAACCTGTGGACTGTGACCCCTCACCTCTCCTCATGATGACGAGCTTCCCAGATCTGCCTTTGTGGTAGGATAAAAATACACAATATTTTTACAATACATACTGGCTTATTCAGGATACAGCGTAAACATGCACCATGACGAAACCAGGATATTCAAAAAACTCATTCATAACTGTGATACTGATGTGCATGTAAACACACTCACTGAAACATTTTCACATATGATTTACTATGTGTGATTTTATGTGTATTTAGTTACAGTTACTTTATTTGAACAGTTAAAAAAGTGATTTTACTTGGCACCTTCTTTTCTTTGTTCTAATGCAGAGCTACAAGATCCACCAAAAGAATGGCCTTCACATGTGACCAGTGTGGTAAGGTGTGTCTAAAGGCTTCCAGACTGGAAGTACATTACAGAACTCACACAGGGGAAAGACCATACAGCTGTGACCAGTGTGGGAAGAAATTTATACACTCTGGTGCTCTCATTGAACATATGAGAATCCACACAGGAGAGAAACCATTTGAATGTGAAGAGTGTGGGAAGAAATTTAGAAAGTCTGGTGCACTCAATGAACATAAGAGAATCCACACGGGGGAAAAATCATACAGATGTTTTGTTTGTGAGAAGACTTTTTCACGGGCATGGACCCTAACATCACATATGAGACTTCACACTGGAGAGAAACAGTTTGAATGTGACCAGTGTGGGAAAGAATTTATACAATCTGGTCATCTCCAACGACATATTAGAGTCCACACAGGAGAAAAACGACACAGCTGTGATGTGTGTGGGAAGACATTTTCACAGTCAGGCCACTTAGATGCACATATGAGAGTCCACACAGGAGAGAGACCATACGAGTGTGACCAGTGTGGGAAAGCTTTCTCTCACTTATCCACTCTCAATAAACACAAGAGAACTCACCCCTGGTTGATACTATATGAGTGTGACCAGTGTGAAGAGGCTTTTAGAACATCCCAGGAGCTCTCCAGTCACTACCGAACACACACAGGAGACAAACCAGACGACTGTGGAGAAAGAGGGGAAGGATTTCAGGTCTGTGAGGAACCGTCTGAAACATGTCCAAATGTTCCAGAGTGAAGAGAAAAGCTGCAGCTCTGACCAGTGTGGGACGACTTTGAGACAAGCTGTTCATCTGAAGGTGCACCCTCTTGAACACACTAAAGGAGAAAGAGCTGCTGAGGCCGGATCAAGTGAGTCTAAAGTCAGACTCAAAAAGCTGGAGATCAGGCTTCAGAGACTCCAGACTGTGGAACTGAGCTCTGTGTAGTGTCAACAATTAAAAACTTAAAATGATGTATATAGCTGAAGTTTGTCCATGTTATTCTTCATTTTATTGTTTTTCACTTTGAGTCTTTAGTCCTGCTTCACTGCACTTCCCCAATCAGACACAGACCTGAAATTGCACTTTATCTTTTTATTCTGTTTTGACTCTTCACAACAAAAAGTGAAGTAAAATATTAGAATTAGAATCTGTTTTAGTGTTTTGCAGATGTAAATAATGTAATAATGCAGGAGACAAAACACAAGTCCAGGTCTGTTTTTGAGGAGGGAACAGCATTAGAACAGGACTTAAAGCTCACAGGAGTCTATTTTACATAATATAGGACCTTTTAAACATATAAATCTATTATTGAAATATAATTATTTGTATTTTACTTATAGTGTTCAGCCATTACAGACGAGTGGGAATGTTGTTGTTAATGAACGAATGTGCAATAATCCCCAATTTACCCTCAAAAGATCCGTTTGTGTTCCAAAGCCTGAGGGAGATTGTTTGTAAATAAAAGGGCTTTAGTGAAGATGGAGGAGAGGGACAAAACAATCATCACAAAAACAATGATGTGTCTTATGTTAAAAAAAAAAAAAAAAAACAATACAAAAAATGAACAGATAATCTATGGAGTTTTGCAGAGTATTTTTCGAGAAACTTTGTGGTGACATTTTACTGAAAGTGTCGATTGTCTTTATTGTTTTAATAAAGAAATTGAAAAGAAGATGGATCCTGAGTTTGCTTCTTCTGTCATAGAATAAAATGTAAACATAAATGTAAGGAGAACTACAACTGGAGAAAATAAAAAAGTTGACCTGGCTTTGTCTGGAATGTTCCACAGTATGGCATTAAACCTTTTTATATTCATGGACACCAAACCAGACCAAGTTACAGGTCAGAACTGTGGAGAGGCGACCCCTCTCACACTCAGAATGCCTTTTTTATTTTTATATGTATATTTTTTTAATTGTGAAACATTCCAGACAGAGCAATGACATGTCTAAATAAAAACCACAAAAACACTTGTAATTCTAAACTTTGACCACCAGAGAAAGTGTTAAACGTAATAGTTCAATCGTTATTTTTCTGTCCGTTATTTAAACTAAAATATCTGTTCAGTTTGGGTTTAACAGAGTTTATAATTATCTAGTTAAATCCATCACCAGACGGAGCTCTGGAGTCTTAGCTTCTATTGCCATTAAAATATTTCTAAATTGTATTTATTATAAATATTTATATTTAATTGAAAACTTTTAGTCTTTAGTTACAGTTATTCAACTGTAAAAAATGAATAAGCAGGTTAAAAAGCAGGTTTACTTTATTTTTATTATTAATAATTTCCTGGTTTTGTTCGTCGGAGTTTGTCGCCATCGTGTGGACAAAAGTGAGAACTGCAGATATCCGCAAAAGCACTTGTAGTTCTCCATGTGGCCGCTAGAGGGAGTGTTCACTGTTAAATTATTTATTTATGAATGTTCTTATTCACTGTAAGTAAGGATGAGAATATATTATTACAATTGAAAAGACCATTTGGAATATAAATGAATTTAACTTCAATGCATTTGTTAAATCGATTACATTTATTGTATACATTTTTTTGTTCTTTTGCTCAGGAGTGACTTTTATCAAAATATTCCACGGTATTTAAAATAATCACACACTCTTGATGCTGAATTTAAAATTATAAATATATTAATTTACAATTATATTGTAATAAAAAGCACACATAAAAAAGAGGAAAAATGGCAAAAGAGATGTACAGTGGGAAACAGGAATAAAAAAAAAAAATTCTAGTTTAAGGTTTGGACATTCATGTTGAAATTATAAATGACATAAAATAGGAAAACATAATAGTGGACACTGTGACAACTGTGGCCAACCAGAAACAGTAGAGCATGTATTTATGGATCGTAACACATATAAAGAGGAAAGAAATATAATGAAGGAAGGAATCAAGGATTTAAAATGAAATTTGACTTAATAGAACTATTACAGCAGCACACAAGAAATAATCACGGCTGTTATTAGTATTATTATTATTATTTTATGTGTTTATTTTTAATTTAGTGATTAGTCAGTGGTGTTTCAGTTCACACTCCTCACCAGTGGGGGGCGGTAATGCTCCAGTTAGTTGTTGGTCAATAAAACTCCACTGTGGTTCATGTTCAGCTCTGCGTCAGGGACAAACCTGTGAATTGGAGGATTTTTCGGATTCCAAACTGTCTCTTCCTCATCGGTGAGTTGTTGAGCAACAATCGGTGAATTATTTTTGTGTTTAGTTCGTATTTGTGTTGTTAAATCGCACTTAGCGTCTTGTTTGTTCGCTCCGCTCCCATTCAAAACCCTGTGGATATTAGCTCCGTTTACTCGCGCTGGGACTTTTACAAACACACATTATACTCAGGAAATATGAACGTTTTTAAGTTTACAGTCAAACATCACATTGTAGATAACAATCTAGTTTAACAGAAGCATTCATTCATTATTTTCCTCTTTTGAAATGATTTTGTCCATTTTTACATCTTTCTGAGCGAACGCGAACATTTTGTTTTTCCTCATTAAATATGAATAAAATGACGAAGCTCCGACTGTTTTTTTTATTTGTAGCGCAGCTTTAATTATTCATCTGATCATCTGCTCGAGTATTTTGATCTATTTAAGTCATTTGATTTATTTAGTACAATTGAGTGTTTTTGATAAATGAAAAAGTGCACTTCCTTTTTTGATTCATGAATGAATTATTGATCGGTGACTGTGTTTAATAGTCAGTTGATTGCAGGATGAAACTGAAATAAGATTGGTAACATATTAATTGACAAAGTTATATATTGATAAAGTGTATTTGTTGTGCAGATGTAAATGTGTCTGTTAAACATGATGCAGATGTTTGTTTCAAACTTATTCCTTTGACCTTCATAGGTCAGGTTTGTTTTTCTATGGACTGAAACTGAACCTGTGGACTGTGACCCTCACCTCTCCTCATGATGACGAGCTTCCCAGATCTGCCTTTGTGGTAGGATAAAAATACACAATATTTTTACAATACATACTGGCTTATTCAGGATACAGCGTAAACATGCACCATGACGAAACCAGGATATTCAAAAAACTCATTCATAACTGTGATACTGATGTGCATGTAAACACACTCACTGAAACATTCTTACATATGATTTACTATGTGTATTTAGTTACAGTTACTTTATTTGAACAGTTAAAAATGTGATTTACTTGACACTTTCTTTTCTTTGTTCTAATGCAGAGCTACAAGATCCACCAAAAGAATGGCCTTCACATGTGACCAGTGTGGGAAGGTGTGGCCAAATGCTACCAGACTGAAAAGACACTACAGAAGTCACACAGGAGAAAGACCATACAGCTGTGACCAGTGTGGGAAGAAATTTATACACTCTGGTGCTCTCAGTGAACATGTGAGAATCCACACAGGAGAGAAACCATTCAAATGTGACCAGTGTGGGAAGAAATTTAGAAAGTCTGGTGCGCTCAATGAACATAAGAGAATCCACACAGGGGAAAAATCATACAGATGTGATCTTTGTGAGAAGACATTTTCACGGTCATGGATCCTTAAATTACATGTGAGAATCCACAAAGGAGAGAAACAATTTGAATGTGACCAGTGTGGGAAGAAATTTGTACACTCTGGTGCGCTCAATGAACACATGAGAATCCACACAGGGGAAAAACCATACAGATGTGACGTTTGTGAGAACACTTTTCACGGTCAAGCAACCTAGTTTCACACATGAGAGTTCACACAGGAGAGCGGCCATATGAGTGTGACCAGTGTGGGAAAACTTTTAAACACTCACCCAGTCTCAATAAACACTTGAGAACTCACTCCTGGTTGATCCTATATGAGTGTGACCAGTGTGAAGAGGCTTTTAGAACATCCCAGGAGCTCTCCAGTCACTACAGAACACACACAGGAGACAAACTAGACGAGTGTGAAGAAAGAGGGGAAGGATTTCAGGTCTGTGAAGGAACCGTCTGAAACATGTCCAAATGTTCCAGAGTGAAGAGAAAAGCTGCAGCTCTGACCAGTGTGGGACGACTTTGAGACAAGCTGGTCATCTGAAGGTGCACCCTCTTGAACACACTAAAGGAGAAAGAGCTGCTGAGGCCGGATCAAGTGAGACTAAAGTCAGACTCAAAAAGCTGGAGATCAGGCTTCAGAGACTCCAGACTGTGGAACTGAGCTCTTTATTTATCATTTTATTAGATTTTAACTGAAATTTGTCCATCTTATTCTTCGTTGTATTGTTTTTCACTTTGGACTTTTAGTCAACAGATATTTATTCTTTTCATGGCTGCTGTGATGAAAAAAGTGAAGTAAAATATTAGAATTAGAATCTGTTTTAGTGTTTTGCAGATGTAGATAATGTAATAATGCAGGAGACAAAACACAAGTCCAGGTCTGTTTTTGAGGAGGGAGCAGCATTAGAACAGGACTTAAAGCTCACAGGAGTCGATTTTACATAATATAGGACCTTTTAAACATATAAATCTATTATTGAATTATAATTATTTGTATTTTACTTGTAGTGTTCAGCCATTACAGACGAGTGGGAATGTTGTTAATGAACGAATGTGCAATAATCACCAATTTACCCCAAAAGATTCATTTGTGTTCCAAAGAGGGAGATTTTGTGCCGTTGTGGAAATAAATAAAAGAGTTTTAGTGGAGACTGCGGAGAGGGACGGAGCCGCTCGCTCTCCTCCACCGACAAAGGTGCTGTTTGCTCAAAGTTCTATCGACACAAAACAATGACGTGTCTTATGTAAAAAAAAATAATAAAATTTTAAATGAACAGATAATCTATGGAGTTTTGCAGAGTATTTTTCGAGAAATTTTGTGGTGACATTTTACTGAAAGTGTAGATTGTTTTAATAAAGAAATTGAAAAGAAGATGGATCCTGAGTTTGCTTCTTCTGTCATAGAATAAAATGTAAACATAAACGTAAGAAGAACTACAACTGGAGAAAATGACAAGTTGACCTGGCTTTGTCTGGAATGTTCCACAGTATGGCATTAAACCTTTTTATATTCATTGGACAGACCAAACCAGACCAAGTTACAGGTCAGAACTGTGGAGAGGCGACCCCGTTCACACTCAGAATGCCATATATATATAATATATAAATATAAATTGTATATATAATGAAGGAAGGCATCAAGGATTTAAAATGAAATCTGATTTAATAGAACTATTACAGCAGCACACAAGAAATAATCACATTTTTATTAGTATTATTATAATTATTTTATGTGTTTATTTAATTAAGTGATTAGTCAGTGGTGTTTCAGTTCACACTCCTCACCAGTGGGGGGCGGTAATGCTCCAGTTGTTGTTGGTCAATAAAACTCCACTGTGGTTCATGTTCAGCTCTGCGTCAGGGACAAACCTGTGAATTGGAGCATTTTTCGGATTCCAAACTGTCTCTTCCTCATCGGTGAGTTTGTTGAGCAACAATCGGTGAATTAATTTTTATGATTAGTTCGTATTTGTGTTGTTAAATCGCACTTAGCGTCTTGTTTGTTCGCTCCGCTCCCATTCAAAACCCTGTGGATATTAGCTCCGTTTACTCGCGCTGGGACTTTTACAAACACACATTATACTCATTAAATATTGAACGTTTTTAAGTTTAAGTTTACAGTCGAGACCAATTGTAGATAACAATCTAGTTTAGTAGAAGCATTGATTCATTATTTTCCTCTTTTGAACTGATTTTGTCCATTTTGACAACTGGTGGAGAGTCTCTGCCTCAGGTGGAGGAGTTCAAATATCTCAGGGTCTTATTCTCGAGTGAGGGGAGAACGGAGCGTGAGATTGACAGGTGGACAGGTGCAGCGTGACGAGCTTCCCAGATCTGCCTTTGTGGTAGGATAAAAATACATCTGCACACATTTTTCTGTGAACCTTTGAACTTATTACTGGAACTATTATTCTTTTGGATTCAACCGCTGCTTCAAACAATAATACAAATACTAAATACCGTCTATTACTGTTGTTGTCCTGTTTGTTTAATTATTATTTAATATATATCAATACATTTAGCTTTAAATCTTTAATACAGGTTGTCTGTGTTTTATTCACACCTCAGGCTCCTTTAAGGACCAGCCTTCTGATGCTGACAATTGTAATTACTCGTTATTTACCGTGGTCGTAGTCAATCTAACCGACTAGTGTTACAAATACATCCTGGTGGTAATGGATCATTTTACACACTTTGCACAAGCGCCACAAAGAACAAGTCAACTAAAACAGTGTTGGACAAGTGCATGAGCACTCAACTTTATGTTGCAGTATTCAGGTACACACCACAGTATCCCAGTTACTATCGGAATATCCCAGGTACAATATCCCAGTTTCTCGTAACCGGGATACTGGTTTATTCAGGATACAGCGTAAACATGCACCATGATGAAACCAGGATATTCAAAAAACCTGATCATAACTGTGATACTGATGTGCATGTAAACACACTCACTGAAACATTCTTACATATGATTTACTATGTGTGATTTTATGTGTTTTTAGTTACAGTTACTTTATTTGAACAGTTAAAAAAGTGATTTTACTTGACACTTTCTTTCCTTTGTTTTAATGCAGAGCTACAAGATCCACCAACAGAATGGAGTTCACATGTGACCAGTGTGGAAAGGTGTGGCCAAAGGCTTCCATACTGAAAGTACATTACAGAACTCACACAGGGGAAAAACCGTACAGCTGTGACCAGTGTGGGAAGAAATTTATACACTCTGGTGCTCTAAGTGAACATATGAGAGTCCACACAGGAGAGAAACCATTTGAATGTGAAGAGTGTGGGAAGAAATTTAGAAAGTCTGGTGCGCTCAGTGAACATAAGAGAATCCACACGGGGGAAAAATCATACAGATGTTTTGTTTGTGAGAAGACATTTTCACGGTCATGGACCCTAACATCACATATGAGAGTTCACACTGGAGAGAAACAATTTGAATGTGACCAGTGTGGGAAGGAATTTATACAATCTGGTCATCTCCAACGACATATGAGAACCCACACAGGGGAAAAACCATACAGCTGTGATGTTTGTGAGAAGACATTTGCACAGACAATCACCTTAGTATCACATATGAGAGTCCACACTGGAGAAAGGCCATACGAGTGTGACCAGTGTGGGAAAACTTTTTCTCAATCATCCACTCTCAATAAACACAAGAGAACTCACCCCTGGTTGATACTATATGAGTGTGACCAGTGTGAAGAGGCTTTTAGAACATCCCAGGAGCTCTCCAGTCACTACAGAACACACACAGGAGACAAACTAGACGAGTGTGAAGAAAGAGGGGAAGGATTTCAGGTCTGTGAGGAACCGTCTGAAACATGTCCAAATGTTCCAGACTGAAGAGAAAAGCGGCAGCTCTGACCAGTGTGGGACGACTCTGAGACAAGCTGGTCATCTGAAGGTGCACCCTCTTGAACACACTAAAGGAGAAAGAGCTGCTGAGTCCGGATCAAGTGAGACTAAAGTCAGACTCAAAAAGCTGGAGATCAGGCTTCAGAGACTCCAGACTGTGGAACTGAGCTCTGTGTAGTGTCAACAATTAAAAACTTTAAATTGTATATAAAGATTTTCTTTTTTTAGCTAAAGTTTGTCCATGTTATTCTTCATTGTATTGTTTTTCACTGCACTTCCCTAATCAGACACAGACCTGAAATTGCACTTTACTTTTATACTTTTGACTCTTGTTAGTAACCCACAACAAAAAGTGAAGTAAAATATTAGAATTAGAATCAGTTTTAGTGTTTTGAATTTTGCTGATGTAGATAATGTAATAATGCAGGAGACAAAACACAAGTCCAGCTCTGTTTTTGAGGAGGGAACAGCATTAGAACACGACTTAAAGCTCACAGGAGTCGATTTTACATAATATAAGACCTTTTTTAAACATACTAATCTATTTCTGCAGTATAATTATTACAAACCTGTTGAATAATTTGAGTGGGAATGTTGTTGTTAATAAATGAATGTGCAATAATCTCCAATTTACCCCAGAAGATCCATTTGTGTTCCAAAGCCTGAGGGAGACAAAGGTGCTGTTTGCTCAAAGTTATATTGTCACAAAACAATGACTTGTCTTACGTAAAAAAACAAACAAAAATTAAACAGAGAATATGTTGAGTTTTGTAGAGTATTTTTTGAGAAACTTTGTGGTGACATTTTAAAAGTGTAGATTGTCTTTATTGTTTTAATAAAGAAATTGAAAAGAAGATGATCCTGAGTTTGCTTCTTCTGTCATAGAATAAAAGGGTTTGTCGGACTTCAAGATAACCAGGGTCTTACAAAGGTCTTAAATTTCATGTTCCTAAATTAAGGCCTTAAAAAGTCTTAAATTATGTTGTCCAAGTATTATTTTGTTCACAAAGGTCTGAAATTTCATTTGCCTATTTTTTTGTTTACTCAACCAGGCTGCAGTGCGATGTTAAACGGAGGGAAAAAAAAAAAACACGTGAAATAACGTAACGTGAATGAACGTCTAATTTGGAGTTTGCACAAACAATACTTAGATTTTTGGCACCGGCGGCAACGAGTAAACAATCAGTTCTGTCTACACTGCCCAAGACGCAAAACTCTGGTCAGATCTGCTCACGTCACATACGTGTTTCCGTCACATACGTGTTTCCGTCACATACGTGTTTACGTCACATACGTGTTTACGTCACATACGTGTTTACGTCACATACGTGTTTACGTCACATACATCACCACCGAGCCGCCTCAAATGCACCCAATCTAATTCCACACATTTTTGCATCATCATATGCAGCAAATTTTCTCCCGAAAACACTCGTCTAAACGCGGAATAAAAAGTGAAGACGCTACGCCAATTTTGTGTCTTCTGTTCAGACCGTCGTTGTGTAAACGTAGCCCTAGATTCTAGATTCAGTACCGGTAGTTGGTCGGTCATTATTAGAATTAGACATGATGTTTTTCACCTGTGTAATGGGTGCGACATTGGTCTTAATTTTCATTGAAGTGGTCTTAAAAAAGTCTTAAATTTGGGGTAGTCAAACCCGGGGACACGCTGACCTGAGTCCTGATGAAGGCTCAGACGCAGTTCCATTTAAAAGCTGCATTGTGTCACTTTTCTGGTGGAGGGTCCGTCAAACGCTTTTCTCCATGTTATTGCTTTGTCTGGAATGTTCCACAGTATGACATTACACCTTTCTATCTTCATGGAAACCAAACCAAGTTACAGGTCAAATCTCTGAAGAGGCGACGCCGCTCACAGTCTGAATGTCTGCATTTTTTTTAAGGTATTTTTGAGACATAAAACAACCTGTAATTGAATAAATGTTAAGTAGAGCTGTTTAATGTCACACTGTGGAACATTCCAGACAGACCAGTGACAGAAACAAGCAGGTGACGGACCTCCAGCCAAAAGTTCCCCAGTGCACTTTTAAAGATAGAGTAGAAATTAGCATTAAAAGTAAAGAAAAAAGTACATGTACTCAGAGTAGTTTAATAACATCGTACATTTATTATCTGCTTTATCATTCTACTTAAAGCTGCACTGCGCTACTTTTCTGGTGGACGGTCCGCAGCTGCTCTCCATGAAGATGTTACTGCTTTGTCTGGAATGTTCCGTAGTGTGACATTAAACATTTCCCCTGTAGTTCCCATTTATTCATCACAGGTGTTTCTGTTGCTCACGTGACCAAACGCACACGAGGGTCTGTAAAATCAACGTGCACTATAATTATTAAAAACCTGTTGAATAATTTTTTAAAAAGTGTTTATTTGCGTGTGTATTTCCGGTCCTGTTCCAGATGTAAAAATCCTCCAGTGGAACAAACGTTCTGTGAATGTGGATGTCGCCCTCTACAGGCGAGTCAATGGTAGAGCTCAGCTCCTCCTCCCAAAGGAAAAACATGACACTGTCTTCAGAGCTGCACAAAGAAATGGGACACAGAAAGGACTTTGGGCTTAATAAGAGACCGATTTGACTGAACAACTTGTTTGGATGTTCTGCTTGTTTGGATGTTCTACTTGTTTGGATGTTCTACTTGTTTGGATGTTCTACTTGTTTGGATGTTCTACTTGTGCCTCATGTTCCTTTAAGCCCCGGAGGTCACTTCCCTGTCTCCTCCTCCTCCTCACTGTGGTTCATGTTCAGCTCTGCGTCAGGGACAAATGTGTCAACTGGAGCATTTTTCGGATTCCAAACTGTCTCTTCTTCATCGGTGAGTTGTTGAGCAACAATCGGTGAATTATTTTTATGATTAGTTCGTATTTGTGTTGTTAAATCGCACTTAGCGTCTTGTTTGTTCGCTCCGCTCCCATTCAAAACCCTGTGGATATTAGCTCCGTTTACTCGCGCTGGGACTTTTACAAACACACATTATACTCATTAAATATTAAATGTTTTTAAGTTTACAGCCAAGCCGAATTTATATATTGATAAAATGTTTGTTGTTCATGTGTAAATCTGTCTGTTATCTGTCTTTGGTTGGATAAAAAGGTGAACTTGTTTATTTAACTTGAGGAAAAATTTGGTTATTTCTATAAAGTCCAGGTGTTCAAAATGTTTAGAAAAGGTAATTTTATACTAATGATATAATAGGTAACCATTGTACTCAAGGGACTTTTTTTCTTTTTTTTTTTTTTTTTTTTGGATAAGAATAGGGGAAAAAGCTACTTTTTTCATTAAGCAGAGGAGGGTGTGGTACCCTGAAAATACTGATTATAAAAAGGCACCTCCAATAACACTTTTAATGTTGTAATGTTTTGATTATATTTTGATTCATTTCTGTGGCTCTTTTACTCATATAGAATTATTCAGGTTCAGCTGCAAAACCACATGTGTTAATCATAAACGTTTATTATTGCAGCGTGAAACTTCCTACATAAAAACACTCAACACTTTGGCTCCAGCAGGTTTAAATGAAGAGTTTGATATAAAACTCTTTCTGTAGATGTATATTTCTTGATGTTTTTGATACTTTTGGCATGTGTGTGTATGTTCTTGTCATTGGAATCTCTTCAAGCTCATGATGTTTCCTTGTGATTTATGATCTCTACTGAATAAGTGTAAGATGGTGTATTTTTGTACATATTATAGTTTGTATATAAAATATGTAAAGTTTTTTACTCCTGTTTGACTTGTTGTAGATGTTTGTGCCCATTTGTGTTTGTATTCCCCCTACACCTGTTCTACACCTGCACTCTGATGAAGGACTCTAGTCCGAAACATTGTGCCAATAAATTTCACATTGAGAGGTTTAAAACAGTGTGCAGATTTTTAATTATTCCTGTAAATGTGTATAAATCATTTTCGTTTTAGTTTATTAATGTGAAGTTTACTGTTGTGTACGACTATAATCTGTCATTTCAAGTTCTGCTGATACAAGAGACTGATTAGAGCAGCACATGAAAATACGTTTGTGTTTGGTCAAGTTCAGGGTTATTTATATGAACTTGTTTTTCTTTGTACAAAACCTGTAACAGAAAATATTGTAAATAAGTGTGTAATGACTAAAGTATTAGTGCAGAGTCATAGAGCAGAAGCAGCACAGTTCAGTGTAAACTGTTGTTAACGGTCAGACCCCATGACTCAGCAGAGCTTTTTCTGTCTTTACACAATTAAAGTTGTTCTGTTTCTCCAAAGCCCTGGATTCTGTCTTCACGTGTGTCACATTTATCAGATCTGCTCAACATGTGGATTAGAATCAGAGCAACAAAGTTGTTCAATGTCTCTGTTTATGTTTCCTTAATTTTATCTTTTTTTTTTTTTGCTACAGACAGAAAATGTGTGACTTTAAAATAAAATACAAACTTTGTTGATTCATTCAGTCAAATGGAATTTGCTTGTAAAACACTGAAACATTCTCACATCTGATTTACTGTGTGTGATTTTATGTGTATTTAGTGAGAGTTATTTTATTTGAACAGTTTAAAAAAGTGATTTTACTTGACACTTTCTTTCCTTTGTTCTAATGCAGAGCTACAAGATCCACCAACAGAATGACCTTCACATGTGACCACTGTGGGAAGGTGTGGCCAGATGCTTACGCACTGAAAAGACACTACAGAATCCACACAGGAGAAAGACCGTACAGCTGTGATGTTGTGAGAAGAAATTTTCGCTGTCAAACCACCTGGTATCACATATGAGAATCCACACTGGAGAGAGGCCACATGAGTGTGACCAGTGTGGCAAGAAATTTACAGAGTCTGGTGCCCTCCATAAGCATATGAGAATCCACACAGGAGAAAGACCATACAGCTGTGACCAGTGTGGGAAGACATTTAGAGACTCCAGTGCCCTCCATCATCATATGAGAATCCACACAGGGGAAAAACCATTTGAATGTGAACAGTGTGGGAAGAAATTTAGAAAGTCTGATCATCTCCATCATCATATGAAAATCCACACAGGGGAAAAACCATTTGAATGTGACCAGTGTGGGAAGAAATTTAGAAAGTCTGATCATCTCCATCAACATATGAGACTCCACACAGGGGACAAACCACACAGCTGTGATGTTTGTGAGAAGACATTTACAATGTCGAGCCACCTGGTATCACATATGAGAGTCCACACTGGAGAGAGGCCACATGAGTGTGACCAGTGTGGGATGGATTTTAGAGACTCCAGTGCCCTCCATCAACATATGAGAATCCACACAGGAGAGAAACCATTTGAATGTGACCAGTGTGGGAAGGGATTTAGAGTGTCTGGTCATCTCCATCAACACATGAGAATCCACACAGGGGAAAAACCATACAGCTGTGAGGTTTGTGAAAAGACATTTGCACAGACAAGCACCCTAGTATCACATATGAGAATCCACACAAGAGAGAGGCCATACGAGTGTGACCAGTGTGGGAAAACTTTCTCTCAGTCATCCAGTCTCAATAAACACAAGAGAACTCACTCCTGGTTGATCCTATATGAGTGTGACCAGTGTGAAGAGGCTTTTAGAACATCCCAGGAGCTCTCCAGTCACTACAGAACACACACAGGAGACAAACCAGACGACTGTGAAGAAAGAGGGGAAGGATTTCAGGTCTGTGAGGAACTGTCCAAAACATGTCCAAATGTTCCAGACTGAAGAGAAAAGCGGCAGCTCTGACCAGTGTGGGACGAGTTTGAGACAAGCTGCTCATCTGAAGGTGCACCCTCTTGAACACACTAAAGGAGAAAGAGCTGCTGAGGCTGGTGTTCTGTCGAAATGGGCTCCTCCGTCTAAATAAATAGACAGTGACATTTATTGATGATCATGCTACCCCATCGAAATAAACTCCCTTACATTTTTCTGTTTACTGTTGTATAGATTCAATAAAGCCTAACTCTGACTTGCCCAGTTTGACACATGTTTCTTTGGATTAGAGACGCAGGTTTGATGTTGTTTGCACACGGTGATCAGACTTTATACCTTATGTCAAATCTAAACTCATATGTATGAATCTGCGTAGTTCATGTGGACACTCGTATTCTGCTCAAACAGGCTCAGACTAAAGGCAGCACATGTTCACGGGACAATTTATCCAACAAATAATGTACAATTAACTCACTGTACAATCAACTAATTTTGATGAATTTGAATAATGCTCCCACTGCACATCAACATTATTTAATTGATATGAATATTGGCAGAGGTTACAAATTCTAGACTATATCTTCTCCCGAATACTGCACCACTAGAGGGCGAACTCCTCACCTCTGTGACACTGGGGACAATGAAGATGGGACAGTTCCTGCAATTCAGTTTTATTTATACAGCACCAATAACAATGGACTTGTCTCTTATTCCTGATGGACGAGGACAGAAAAAGGGACGACAGAAGAAGCATAATGAACATTTATTACAATAATATATACACATTTATTCAACTGTGCCTCAGGAGCTGCTCTCTCCTCAGTCTCCACTAAAGCTCTTTTTTTTTTATTTACACAGTGGCAGGTAAAGGTAAACTGGGGATTATTGCACATTCATTCATTAACAACAACATTCCCACTCATCTGTAATGGCTGAACACGACAAGCTTATGTTCTGTACCAGGTTTGTAATAATTATAATTCAATAATAGATTAATATGTTTAAAAGGTTCTATATTATGTAAAATCGACTCCTGTGAGCTTTAAGTCCTGTTCTAATGCTGCTCCCTCCTCAAAAACAGACCTGGACTTGTGTTTTTTCTCCTGCATTATTACATTTTCTACATCTGCAAAACACTAAAACAGATTCCAATTCTAATATTTTACTTAACGTTTTTCATCACAGCCGCCATGAAAAGAATACACATCTGTTGTGGGTCAAAACAGAATAAAAAGACAAAGTGCAATTTCAGGTCTGTCTCTGATTAGGGAAGTGCAGTGAAGCAGGACTAAAGACTCAAAGTGAAAAACAATAAAATGAAGAATAAGATGGACAAACTTCAGTTAAAAATTATTTTCTAATGTAAGGGAGTGACCAGTAGGTGGTGCTCTTGTGTCTGCTGTCATGACGAGACCGCTGTTACTGCTTTTGTTGTTTCTGACCCATGTCCAAGTGCGGACACCGTAGAGGCTGCGCGAAGAGGCTGCGCAGTGAGTCTCCTGCCTCTTCTCTCTGCCCTGACGCAGTCAGGTGCGCGCTGCCACTCGAGTTAATCAAATCTATCAACAGCTTAGTTGATATTTGTCAAGTTTATTGCACCAAACAGATTATGTAAGATGTTTTACGAACTATTGGTCCTGTTCTGAGCGACCAGCACATTGGTCTGTTTGTTTTAATGGCACTTTTATTTATGCGCGCAGGTAGGAGCAGTTAGTCCACTGGTGAATGTGTAATGTGTAGTAGCCTGTTGTAGTGACCATTTACCAGTTGGTGCACTGTTTGTTGCACTAAATAATATATATATTTTTTAATTTATGATGTTGTATTATTACTATTGCACACATCTTGGGCATATGAATAATTAATAATTGGTAATTCTTGTACTTAAATGACTAACTAGCGCTCCTCTCTCTGCCCTTATGAGCCAAGCAACTGTAAAGAAAAACCTGTCATCTCTATTGAAACTCCTCAAATAAATGCACCGGCTGTCGCTCATTCCACAATCAAAAAGAGTCGCTGTGTTTGCTGTGATCCTTTATCTCCCCACCACACCAAGACACTCATACATCACTAAACACACCACAGGGTCCTGAAGCTGGTGTGCTGAGACAACTGGGACCACATATAGAGCATCAGTCCGTGAGGGTTACACTAATAAATACAAATCTTTGCTTATCATTTTAAGCTTTTAATTGTTGACACGACACACAGTTCAGTTCCACAGTCTGGAGTCTCTGAAGCCTGATCTCCAGCTTTTTGAGTCTGACTTTAGACTCACTTGATCCAGCCTCAGCAGTTCTTTCTCCTTTAGTGTGTTCAAGAGGGTGCACCTTCAGATGAGCAGCTTGTCTCAAAGTCGTCCCACACTGGTCAGAGCTGCAGGGTCATTCCAGGCCAAATCTTCGAATGCCCCACTCGACCATCTCAGATTTGACTGACAAAATTTTAGGAGGTTCACACACTTTCCAATAGGAAAAATCCCAAATTTTAGCTCCTAAACCACAGTCCATGAACGCTCAGCATATATGTGGACATATTTTTCAAAAATTCATTTTGCGAAAATGCAGAAAACCATCACAAATGTTGGATCTGTTAAAAACAGACATCTAGTCTTTCTAAAACTGTGATTTTTTTGGTATAACCTGGTAAAGATGGCACCGAATGGATTTTTTTTTTCCATTTTTAACACTTAATATCTTGTAGAGAGGGTCAGTTTTAAAATAGAGAGAACACAGCTTGTGTGGGAAAGTGAATGTTCAATATCAAACCTCTGTCTTCAAATTGCCCTCATTTAATGAGTACAATTTTCAAGCAAATTCAAGCCTCCCAGAAATCTGTGATAAACCAAAAGCACGTGTGTAAAAGTCCAGATTCTACAAGAACATTTGACAAATTTTAACCCCTGAAAATTTCAAGGACCTTAAATTATTTTTTAGATACAGAAATCTGAAAGTGGCTCCTCTGAAAACTCTGCTCCAAACAGCTCAGGGGGGAACTGACAAAATATCTTTTAATGACAAAACTAGAGTTGGGTTGGGAGCTAAAATTTGGGACTTTTCCTGTTGGAAAGTGCGTGAACCTCCTAGAATTTTTTCAGTCAAATCTGAGAAGGTCAAGCGGGGACATTCTGAGATTTGGCGTGGAATGACCCTGCAGTTTTTCTCTTTAGTCTGGAACATTTGGACATGTTTCGGACAGTTCCTCACAGACCTGAAATCCTTCCCCTCTTTCTTCACAGTCGTCTGGTTTGTCTCCTGTGTGCGTTCGGTAGTGACTGGAGAGCTCCTGGGATGTTCTATAAGCCTCTTCACACTGGTCACACTCATATAGGATCAACCAGGAGTGAGTTCTCTTGTGTTTACTGAGTGTGGATGATTGAGAGAACATTTCACCACACTGCTCACACTCGTATGGTTTCTCTCCAGTGTGGACTCTCGTGTGTTGATGGAGGTCACTGGAGTCTCTAAATTCCTTCCCACACTGCTCAGATGGTTTCTCTCCAGTGTGGATTCTCATATGTGATAGTAGATTGCTTGATTGTGCAAATGTCTTCTCACAAACATCACAGCTGTACGGTTTTTCTCCTGTGTGGATTCTCATATGTTTATGGAGGTCACCAGACTCTGTAAATTTCTTCCCACACTGATCACATTCAAATGGTTTTTCCCCTGTGTGGATTTTCATATGATGACAGAGGGCACTGGAGTCTCTAAATGTCTTTCCACACTGGTCACAGCTGTATGGTTTTTCTCCTGTGTGGATTCTCATATGGTTAAGGAGGACACCAGACTCTCTAAATTTCTTTCCACACTGGTCACACTCGTACGGCCTCTCTCCAGTGTGGATTTTCATATGTGACAGTACATGACTTGACCGTGTAAATGTCTTCTCACAAACATCACAGCTGTACGGTCTTTCTCCAGTGTGAGTTCTGTAGTGGACTTTAAGTCTAGAAGCATTTGGCCACGTCTTCCCACACTGGTCACAGCTGTACGGTCTTTCCCCTGTGTGAGTTATGTAGTGTCTTTTAAGTTTGGAAGCATTCGGCCACACCTTTCCACACTGGTCACATGTGAAGGTCATTCTGAAGCTCTGCATTAAAACAAAAGAAAGGAAGTGTCAAGTAAAATCACTTTCTCTTCAAATAAAGTAACTCTAACTAAATACTAGGGGTGTAACGGTACAAAAATCACGGTTCTGTATGTACCTCGGTTTTGAGGTCATGGTTTGGTTAATTTTCGGTACACTTTGGGAATAAAATTTGCTTGTTGTTTACTTGTGTCTTTATTAAACAATTTGTTTTAACATTATACAAACGGGAAAATAAAATAAATGCAAAGTGCTGCTTGGTAATACTAATAAGTTTCTAAAATAAGATTTGAGCTTCCGCGGACCTGGGACCGGGGGCCGACGACCGTAGTTTTGCAGGACTTACAAAAACTATGAGGGACGTGGTCAAGTCGGGGGCAGCTGTTGTTGCGGTGGTCGCTCTAACTACAAAGCGCCTTAGGAAACACTGAACCAATCACAGACGAGTTCCTCATGAATAATAAAGAGCCGAGTCTCCGTGGAGCTGCACATGTAGAGGACGAATGTAAACACACACTAACTCACTCATGCACAGCCCTGCACCGAACCGAACGTCCCGTACCGAAAATGAACAAAGACAGTTCTAAGGAGATAAGAATGGATCAATGTTTCTATTAAACCAGATTCTTATCTACAATTCGGCTTGACTGTAAACTTAAAAACGTTTAATATTTCCTGAGTATAATGTGTGTTTGTAAAAGTCCCAACGCGAGTAAACGGAGCTAATATCCACAGGGTTTTGAATGGGAGCGGAGCGAACAAACAAGACGCTAAGTGCGATTTAACAACACAAATACGAACTAAACACTAAAATAACTCACCGATTGTTGCTCAACAACTCACCGATGAGAAAGAGACAGTTTGGAATCCGAAAAACGCTCCAGTTGACAGATTTGTCCCTGACGCAGAGCTGAACATGAACCACAGTGAGGAGGAGGAGGAGACAGGGAAGTGACCTCCGGGGCTTAAAGGAACATGAGGCACAAGTAGAACATCCAAACAAGTAGAACATCCAAACAAGTAGAACATCCAAACAAGTTGTTCAGTCAAATCGGTCTCTTATTAAGCCCAAAGTCCTTTCTGTGTCCCATTTCTTTGTGCAGCTCTGAAGACAGTGTCATGTTTTTCCTTTGGGAGGAGGAGCTGAGCTCTACCATTGACTCGCCTGTAGAGGGCGACATCCACATTCACAGAACGTTTGTTCCACTGGAGGATTTTTACATCTGGTGCCTCTTTTTGAAAAACTTGGCCTTTGGGGACTCACAGTACTCAGAGGTTTTGTGGAGCAGGACAGGGACAATAACAGAGTCTTTTTCTGGACTTTTCCTGGTTTCTGTGGGTGAGAGAAACTCACCTGGAGGATCAAGTGAGTCTAAAGTCAGAGTCAAAAAGCTGGAGATCAGGCTCCAGAGACTCCAGACTGTGGAGTTGAGCTCTGTATTTTCGTTTTTTTTTTATTAGAAAGAGGTTTTAGCTGAAGTTTGTCCTTCCATTTCTTCCTTGTTTTGTTTTTCACTTTGAGCTTTCAGACACATAACTGGATTAATATCATTTTGTGTTTGTTTTTGTTTTTTTTCCTGTTTGCTGCTGACTCTCTTTAACAACCCACACCAGATGTTTATACTTTTCATGTCCAAAATGTGAAAATAAAGTCTGTTTTTTTTTTACTTTACTTTAAATTTTTAGATCATTTGTTCGTGCTTGTCTTGTCTCGTGTCATCAATGAATTTTGGAAATGAATGAAATCTTTTCACACAAAGGGCTGAGGAACAGTGTGAGCTTCTGTCAAAAGGTGAAGCACTAGATGTTGTCACTCAGAGGTCCCACGTCCATGTTCCACCTCCTGCTGAACCAGCCCGAATGTTCACGGCCGCCTGACAGTGACACGCCCTCACAGCCCCAAACCAAACTCTTCAGCCTCACGGGAACAAGATGTGTCCAGTGTCTCCTCCACAATCTGCCCGCTGAAGCTTTACGGGACACAAGAGCTCAGACAAGTCTAAGAAACGACATGTAGACCCACTGCAGAACTCCTGTGTGAACCACTAGTAGCCGTAGCCACAAATGGGAGTGAAACACCAGATACAGGCTGGATAGAGGCTGAGTTTGATTTGATCTGTGACTCTCAGCCTTCAAAAACATGACGTGTGCCTGTTTTAGTCGCTAGTGGTCCCTATTATCAGGCTCAGTGTCATAGAAGAAGTGTTTGACGAGTGTGGAAAAGGACATTTGAAAACAAAGTGTGTACAAATGATCAGTCAGACTTTCTCAGTGTCGGTCAAAACAGAAGATTAAAACTAGTCTCAGTTGGTTTCGTTTCATACGTAAAGATCTATCGCTCCACACCTCTAAACTCTTCATGAACGCAATGATCTTCTCTCATCGATCTTATTGTATCACCTCATGGTCCCAGGCTCCTCAAACACACTCAAACTGCTTTGTTCATTTTACAAACTGACCCTTAAGATCCTTGACAAAAGCCCAAACACCGGCACCACTGTGAAATTATAAAGAAACATCAACTTTTTAACTTTGAAAATTTTATCAATTTTAATAATCTTAAATTTTTTTTAAGCATCTTAACTGCGATACACCATTACACTCAGAATTTGCCAGGACCATAAAATGTTCACACAGAGCAAACACAAGAGGAGCTACTCGTGGTGATTGTGTTGTTCCTTGGTACAGGACGACTCTGGGTCAGTCCTCGTTCTTTTTTAAAGGGGCCAGTCTGTGGAACGGTTCACCAGCTCATTTAAAATTGGAAACAAACAACAACAAATTTAAAAGGAAATTAAAATTATTGTATGTTTCCAATCAAAACTGCATCCACTGAAAATGTACTGTATATATTTTATCTGTACACTTGTGCTAAAACACTCAACACAATGCATCTGGCTTGTCTAATGTGATTGTGATGTACTTAATAAACATAAATAAATAAATGTTTAATAAATAAATGTCCAATGAGATTCATTTGGTCTTCCGATATTCTATGTTATTAGGTTCTTTTTTTCAGACCTGGAGTGTTATTTCATCCCTGACAGTTTGTTCTGTTCACCAGCGTCTTCCTCAGAGTCACGTGATGTTGCTGTGACGTGTCTGGTCAGATGATTTAAACAGGTTTTGTCTCTGTCTTCCTACCGGTGGAGGCAGGACGACAGCGCCACCTGCAGACCCACTTCCTCAGGACAGAATCCCAGGTGTGTGAGAGTAAAAAAGCCCCTCGCAAACATCATTGGGACAGAGGAAAACAAACATTGCCGATGAATTAAAGAAGCAATCGAAATACGGAAACGTGCCCACAGGACTGTAAACCGGGACGAGGGGCTTTTTTACTCTCACACACCTGGATACTGTCCTGAGGAAGTGGGACTGCAGGTGGCGCTGTCGTCCTGCCTCCACCGGTAGGAAGACAGCGCCAAAACCTGTTTAAATCATCTGACCAGACGCGTCACAGCAACATCACGTGACTCTGAGGAAGACGCGAGTGAACAGAACAAACTGTCAGGGATGAAATAACACTCCAGGTCTGAAAAAAAGAACCTAATAACATAAATAAATGTTTAAGTTACTGCAGCCACACTTTGACAAGCTGCGACAGAACACACAGGCAGGAAAGAAATAAACTTGAAGAAATAAAAGCTGTACATCCGGTCAGAGTCCAAGAGCCTGAAAAGCAACAGAAAACACTGACACAGGTGATAACGTCCAGGTGAATGAGGTCACCTGTAACACTCGGCCCCACTCGGTCCAGTTGTAGTTCCTTTTCTTTACATTTTATTCTATGACAGAAGAAGCAAACTCAGGATCCATCTTCTTTTCAATTTCTTTATTAAAACAATAAAGACAATCTACACTTTCAGTAAAATGTCACCACAAAATTTCTCAAAAAATACTCTACAAAACTCCATATATTCTCTGTTCATTTTTTTTATTTTATTTTTTTTTTTACATAAGACACGTCATTGTTTTGTGTCGATAGAACTTTGAGCAAACAGCACCTTTGTCGGTGGAGGAGAGCGGCTCCGTCCCTCTCCTCAGTCTCCACTAAAACTCTTTTATTTATTTCCACTGCGGCACAAAATCTCCCTCAGGTTTTGGACACAAACGGATCTTTTGGGGGTAAATTGGGGGATTATTGCACATCCGTTCATTTACAACAACATTCCCACTCATCTGTAAAAGCTCAACACGACAAACTCATGTTCTGCACCAGGGCCATGAACAAATCAACAGGTTTGAAATAATTATGATTCAATAATAGATTAATATGTTTAAAAAAGGTCCTATATGCTGTAAAATCGACTCTTGTGAGCTTTAAGTCCTGTTCTAATGCTGTTCCCTCGACGACATTAGAAACAGATTAAAAAAATAAAAACAGCATCATTTGGCCTTTTACATTCAGCCAGTTTTTATACATTTAATATTTTGGCTGCTAAAAGTTCCAGTAGTTTCTTGGTAAAATTATGCACAACAATTAAAACATGTCATTTTATAAACATACAAAAGTTCATTCTTACATCGCGAGCAGGACCAGACCAGAGTTTTGTTTGGAAGGAGACGGATTCCTAAAAAAATATTTCCTGATATAATTTCCTTTGTGCAAATTTTTCCGCCGTCGCCTTCCTGCAGCGAAACGAAACAATGTCACTTTACGACACGATTAAACCTAAACTCTGGCTTCAAGGTGCGTTCAGGGGACGGATCTGAGGGTGGGTCGTTTGAGATTTGTTGATCTGGTTTATGATTCAGATCCAGTGGTGGAAAAAAAAAACTACTTGATTTTGTTACTTAAGTAAAAGTACAGATACCAGAGCAAAGAAATACTCAAGTAAAAGTGGAATTATCACATAAAAAAAAATCTATTTAAGTAAAAGTATTAAAGTATTAATTCAAAAATGTACTTCAATAGTAAAAGTAAAAGTATTTCACGCAGATTTTGAGATATTATAAAGTTTCAAATGTAGTGATTTTGAAAAACATTTTTTTCAATAAAAAAAATTGAATCAAATGTTTTTTGTTTTGTTTTGTTTTTTACAAATGTGTTAAAATAAAATAAACCCTCGTGTTTCCAGCAGGTCTCAAACTAAAATAAAAATAAATACTTTTACTTTTAAGACTTGTTCAGAAATGTAGTGGAGTAGAAAGTACAGATATTTGCTCTCAAATGTGCTGAAGTGAAAATAAAGTAGTACAAAGGTAAAATATACACTGTAAAATCTACTTAAGTAAAGTACAGATACCTCTTTTTTTACTTAAGTACAGTACTTTGATACTTTTACTTTGTTATGTTGCACCACTGTTCAGATTTCTGTCATTACTGAACTCTCCACCTGAAACTAAAACTGGCACAAAGTTCATCCTTTAACCTAAGTAGAATTATTTGCTCATTATAATCATCAAAAAACAGGATTTTAATGCACAAGATGAACTATTTTCAGTTTGGACATGTTTTTAATCAAATGTAAAACTTTGTGTGGACTGATGGGGATAAATCTGGGACCTGGAACTTAAACTAGACTAAACCAGGACCAGAAAAGAACCAAAAGTCTACCTCAATCAGGACTAAACCAGATCTAAACCAGGATAAATCTTGCACTTTTTTTTAAACATAGGCTGCATCTTATTTCTCGTTTCCTCGCTTCCTTCTCCTGGTTTCTGCAAGAAATGGGTGAGGAAGTCCCAGAGGAGACAGAGAGAGAGAGGATCTAAAGTCCTCACTGAGACTGATTAAAGTCTGATTCTTTTCTCTGGTGTTTGCTCCTGAAGACGCCCTCAGGTTTACTCCTTCACCAAGAGGAGAGGAAGCGAGGAAAGAAATGCGACGCGGCCACAGACTCCTACAAACATGAACGCGACCGCTGTGCGTTTCTTGTGCGATAAAAGTTGTCTCAAAGTAACACAATAACGGAGAGCGCTAAAGCCGGACGAACACTGTGCGATATTCTCGATATTTTCACTCAGACTAGTGTTGTACGAAACTGTACGAATCAAAACCAAGACCGAGACAAGACCAAGACCACGGCCCATCAAGCCCATCAAGACCAAATCAAGACCAAATCAAGACCAAATCAAGACCATCTTTGTTATTTCCTACATTAATTTGTATTTTACAGATATTTTTTGGTATGTCAGTGTTTTTATAAATCTGTCTCCATTTGATCTGATGAATGTTCATTTAAAATAAACCAAACAAACTGTGCTACACTTCAACACTCTGTTCCTGTTTTTTGGACCCTGACCCACAGTTTGAGAATCTCTTCTTTAATCCCACTTCCACTGACACTTTACACAAAACAAATTCAAAGTGAATCACGTGGTTTTTTCAAGTTCATAATATTTACAGTCACATTCTCTCACTGGTTTTGAGGTGATATTTAACCTCTGCACATTAACCGACTGTAATGAAATATGATCAAACTCGACGAGAGTCAGACCTCGAGACCGACACAAGACCAAGTCCGAGCACTTTCGAGACAGAGACAAGACCGAGACCAAATGCACTCGAGTCTGAGTTGAGACCAAGACCATAAAAAAAAAGCGTCTCGAGACAAAGACCTGTCTCGAGTACAACACCACCAGCTCAAACTGTTCGACCAAATCTCAGGGTTTAAAAGTTCACAGCTCATGATTCATGTTCTCACACTGAACGACTTCAGCAGAGTGAAACCCTCACGAGACGCGACTGGATTCAACCAGGTTTGATTTTCCTGAGCCCTGTGATTGGCGATCGGGAGTTGGTCGTGCGGGATTAATCCTTCTCGTTACCTCATGTTTCTACACAAAACACGACGCACGATTAAGACAAAACTCTGCCCGATCTCAAAAACATTCGCATGAGTGAAAAACCGACTCAAAAAGGGTCAAAAATAGCACAGTGTCGCCCGACTTAAACTCACCACACAACCTATTAAATATAAATGTTTTACATTTCAGCGTTTGAGCTCCACAGAACTGATTGTGCGTTTCCAAAAGTGCAGAAAATGAAAGTCTGCACCAAACTACAGTACAAAACAGGAAGAAACTGTCAACGTAAAACATGTCAAAACAGACGAAAGAAAAGTTAAAACTACCACCAGTGTATTTATGGATTTAGTATTGATCTTTTTCTTTTTTTTTCTTAAATTGTTCATCTCTATGGCAACCGGTTTTTCATAATTCTCAAACCCATGACACAGTATTTTAGAAGAGCAGGAGGAACGGTCTGATAATAATATTTTTAGGTTTAAAGCTGCACTGTGTAACTTTTCTGGTGGAGGCTCCGTCAAACGCTTTTCTCCAACGAGATGTTACAGCTTTGGAATGTTCCACAGTACGGCATTAAACCTTTCCATCTTCGCGGAGACCGAACCAGACCAAGTTCCAGGTCAGATCTGTGGAGAGGCGGCGCCGCTCACAGTCAGAATCACAGTCTGTTTTTGTAGATATTTTTGAGCTTTAAATCCATCTGTAATTGAATAAATGTAAAGTAGAATTGTTAAATGTCACACTGTGGAACATTCCAGACAGAGAAATGACGTCTCCATAGAAACAAACAGGTGATGGACCCACAACCACAAAGTTACACAGTGCAGCTTTAACATGTTAAAAAAAATGCAGCTACTTATGTAATTTTCATTTTTAGTAGAATGTTATTTTTGTGGATGTAGATTTAAATGATTCCAAAAACAGCGATTTCGGCTACAGTTTTAACCAGAAAGTGAAAGTGGCCTCAATATTCTCTCTGAAAAAACTACAACCTCCAGCGACCACAAACAAACAAACAAACAAACAAACAAACAAAAGAAGAAGAAGAAGAACCGTCTGGGTTCACGTTCCATTTGTTCTTTTGAATTTCAATTAAGAACAACTAAAAAATAAAATGTGAAAACAGTTCCTTTCATTTTTACGTTTTAGTGTCAAACAAAAAACAGATTTCAACATCTATGTACAATATTTAATTTAAAGTTTATTTAATTAATTAATCATTGCATTTATATAACGCCTTTCAAGATCAACAAAGCTCTTTACAGTTCATTCTTCATTCACTCCACACTCTGTGGTGTTAAACTGCTGCAGGAGCCACAGCTGCCCTGGGGCAGACTGACAGAAGCGAGGCTGCCAATCTGCAACATCGGCCAGAACGAGCACAACAGAAACAGGAAACAGAGATAAATTTTGTTCAGTGACACTGAATTCACAGGCAGCGCTGAGCAGAACATCTGGGGCAAAACCAGAGAGAATAAAAGATCCAAATTAAAACAGGCACAGAGACAGAGAGGAAACAGAAGTTAAAATCTGTTTTTATGTTTGACACTAAAACAGAATAAAGAAATAAACAGTTTTCACATTTTATAGTTTCTCGTTCTTAAGTGAAATTCAAATAAATGTGTGGAACATGAACCCGTCTGATTTCAGCTTAGACGTGTTGAGATGATGCTTTGGTAAACTTCAAAACTACGTCACATTCCTAAAACGTCCAAACAGTCAATCCTGGACTAATGATAAAAATACACGATAAAAGGCAACGCGTGTGAACTTAAAGGCTCGGAAAAGTACAAAAGTACACTTCCCATTTTAAGAAACTAAAGATGTTTTTCAGTTTTCTGTTTTGTTAGACACAATCAGACGACTTTTCCAATTCAGTTCAAAAAACAGAAGATGTTAATCACTATGACAACAGCCCAGAAAATCAATCTAGTAAATATAATTAGGAGTTTCTTTTAATTGCTAAAAGGCGTCAGACGCAAACTGACGACCCAGAGAAAAATCCAAACGAGTTAAAAGTCCATGACATAACTTTTCAGCTGATTGATCTGCTGCATTTTTGGCCTGACTGTTCTTCTGTTTCCAGTCGTTCCACTCGTCTGTTAGAGATAAACATCAATCATTCCTGCTTTTTACTGCCCACTCACTTTGAATCACTGAACTCATACAGGCAGGTTTTAAAAATACACTTCTCCTCAATTTTCTTATAAAATCTTGGCAGGGTTTTCCTCAAAAATACGCAGCATGAAATGAGTTAAACATCTGTCGACGTAGAAGTTCAAGTCTGTGATTCCCAAACGAGTGAGAAAAGATAAAACGGGTCAGATCCAGGTCTTAAACTGCATGTGACAAGTGTGGACACAGTGACTGTTGTTATATTTAAGGTTTTAGTTTATAATGTGGCTTCCTGGTTAGACACAGCAGCAGTTTGTGATGTAAACAAGCCCCAAAATGCATCTAAACTGCACAATAGCTTCGATCAGACAATTAAAAATAAACAATAACTCCTTTGTGCTTGTCCTGCTTCATGTTTTCCTTGTGTGTAAAACTGCCTCTGCGTTTGGGTCGGAGTTTCCCGTTCTGTTTTAAAAACTCGACGTCCTAAAAAAAAAAACTGGTTTGAGAGGAAAGTTAAAGAGGTTTTTTTTGTTAAGAAAGAAAATCCATCCTTGAACAGAAACGGAGGCGTCAGAACATCATCTGTCTCCATCTACAGCTCCGTCCTCAGACCTAAAACAAAAGAGAAGAACAGGAGGAGCAGGTCAGGGTCAGACAGGGGAAAACACTCAGAATGGGCCTGAATGATTCTGCTGACAGAGGGTGACCAGACGCCCTAGTTTACCCGGGACACTCCCAGTTTGGAGCCTGTGTCCCCTGTCCCAGCAGATTTATACAAAACCACTGATTTGTCCCAGTTTTATCTAAGAAAAGTCCCTATTTTTGACCAACTTGATCTAAACCAGGACTAAACTGAGACTAAAACAAGACCATCACAATTTTTGACTGAAAACCATGTTTGTAAATGACAATAAAGCAAACAAATTCAGTGTCAGAAGTCCCTGAGATCATGACTGATGTGAGAATCCACAAAGTTCCACGCTCTTTTTACCATTTTATTTAAACCAACCATCTCAACCCGACTGTGTCCCACTTTAGAATTTTGAAAATCTGGTCACCCTGTGCTAATATGTCCCCTCACTCAGTCCAGATGAACAAACACAAGCTGTAAACAAATGTGTGTTTGTTTGTAGGAGGAGCTAACTACACTGAAACTACTCTGAAACTGATATAAGGAAGTGTCCACCAGCATCTGACCACAACTGAAGAAGCAGCTTGGATGAGCTGAGGAATGTATTCGACCAAAATAAACTTTTGTCCAATCGACAAATTTGAATTTCTCCTTTGCTGTGGATTCTACTTGGCCAGGCTGGCGCCCCCTAGTGCTTCTGCTTAGTTTCATTTCTCTCCACTGACTAGATCAAGAATCAGAAAACACTAGACGGTTCACAAAAACCTCAGAAGTGCAAGTTCTGGCTCCAGCCAATCAGAGAAGAGACAGACATTCTGTGTTGGCAACGATTCCCGAGATTGAGGATTTAAAGCCGGAACAAAGAGAATGTTTGGTGAATTTGATCTCGGGGAAAGTCGTTATTGTTCTTCTTCCTTCAGGATTTGGAGCTTTACAAACGTCACGACCAAACAGCAGCGACTGGTTCAATAAAAAAGTCCCCACCTACTGTCGAGTGAACGAATCCTAATGCTGCGAGTCTCTACAAAGTGAAACCAGCTCATGAATCAGATTAGAATCTACCTGAACGACTGAGGGATTCTACACACAAGTTTCTCTGCAATTTTTTTCCCTAGAAACTGCCACTTTATATTGTGTAACTTTTCTGGCGGAGGGTCAGTCAAATATTTTTCTCCCCTGTTATCGCTGTCAAAAACCTTTTTATCTTAACGCAGACCAAACCAGACCAAGTTCCAGGTCAGATCTGTGGAGAGGCGACCCTGCTCACACTCACAATGTCTGTTTTTCAAGGGATTTTTTATTCTAAAACCACCTGTAGTTGAATAAATGTAAAGTCGAGCTGTTTAATGTCACTGTGGAACATTCCAGGCAGCAATGGCGCATCCATAGAAAAAAATCAGGTGACGGACGCCCAACAGAAAAGTTACACAGTGCAGCTTTATCTGATGTAAAACTCTGACACATATTTCACACAGAGACTCTCCACCAAACCAGAGAATAATCTGAAAACCATGAAGCCTGTCAGATGCACTTTAAGATGAATTTACCGGATGAGAAGTGCAGAAGAAGAATAAAAAAGTAAAATAATTAAAGTGTGTGTAGTTTTTAAGGCTTGACCTGATCAAATGCCGAGGTAGTTTCACTCTGGACGTCCGTTTTTTTACAGCGAGAAGCGTTTTTCCACTTCGTCGGCGACCATCTCGGCGATTGACAGGGAGGAGGTTGCCGCGGGCGACGGGGCGTTTCTCACGTGAAGGACTCTGCTGCCCACGTCTCCCACTCCCCCGTCAAACACGAAGTCGTCCACCAGGTTTCCATGGCGATCCAGGGCCTGAGCTCGCACCCCCGCCGGGCCCCTGAGGGAGACACATGATACACCTGTTATCTTCACCTCAGGTAATAACAGACGGTTTATACAGTCGTAGTAGTTTATTTTCTTCTTCAGTCAGTTAACATAATTGTACATCATATAACAATGATTTAACACAAAAAAATAATTATGCAGTTAATGCAGATCAATAAGGTTATTCTATAGACCACAGGTGTCAAACATAAGGCCCGGGGGCCAGATCCGGCCCTCCAAGACCTTTAATGTGGCCCTTGGGTGATTTTCTATTAAAATATTTTAATTATATTTTCTATTAAAATCGTTGTTAATTTTCTGTGGTGTTTATCACAGCAGCGTCTCCAGCGTCTCTGTACGTGGCCCCTCCCACCAGAGCAGCACAAATGAAGACTTGTCTCTTTCCAAACGCTCTTAAAGGACGATCGTTTTGACTGTTGACCGTGACACCCTCATCAGAAAAATGTCCAACATGAGAAAAGTGGAGCCGAGTGCAGGATTTTACAACAAAAATTGACTTATTCCTGTTTACAGACAAGTTCATGTTAAAACTTTGTGTTGAAATTGTATTTTTCTTAAAGTTTCAGGTTGTTCATAATATTATAATATTTTGTAAAAGAAAGAGTTCATCAATTAAAAAAGATTTCTGTAATAGATTTGAGTTTCTCTGCACAAATATTTGAAACTTATTGTTATTTTGGGGTTTATATGACATGAGTTTTCTGATCCGGACACTTTGGATCAAAGTCGGTTGGATACGACCCCCAGGACCAAAATGAGTTTGACTCTCCTGCTATCGACCGAAGGGGTTTAGGCTGAAGTTTAACACTTGTTTTGCCAAAAGCAGTTAACATATAAAACAAGATACAAGACGCAAAACTATTTACAGAAAACAACATAAAACTCAACATACACAATACAGACACACACACACACACACACACACACTGACCCTGTACATGTTAATATTTATACCTATTGGTTTATAATATACACTTAAATATATAAGTATAATTGGGGGTTACAGTTAATTTGTAGGTTTGATGGGGTAAAATATGATTTATTGTATTTCTCTGTATTTCTCTATAATTTTAGTCTTATATATATTTTTTGAAATGTGTAAATTTAAATATATAGAAGAACAGAGCTGATCCACAAACCCACAAACCGCACGTTACAAACAGGAAGTGAGCATGGACCTGCTTCCGGCTCCATGAAAAAACGGTCCCCTCTCTCTGTAACTGCTGCTTTCAGACTCCTCATTTTGTCTTAAAACATTCATATTAATCTGTTTTTTTTTATCTCGATATTCTGTCCATAAATAAATTCCTGTTCCTAACGTAGAACTGAGCTCCAAATTCTCTCCTGTTAACTGCTGGCCTCATGAGCTTCATTTGACTGAAGGTGAACGATCTGATGACGTCAAACTCACTCGTGTGGCCGGAGTCTCCAACCTGCAACTCAGGAACCAGCAGCTCCTCATCCTCCTCCAAGAAGCTCGCCAAAGGATTTCTGTATTCTCTGTGTTGTGCTCAATAATTTAAACAAAATTATAACTTGAATTTAAAGCCTTGAACCGTTTTAAATGTCTCTTTTTGATGTTGAACTCTGCACTGGATACTTGGATTATGTTTGTGTTTTATTAACTGTGCCCCACTTGAGGCTCGCTGTGGCTCTTATATTTACTCAGTTTCTTATCGTTGCCAAAATCAGAAACTCTCTGGCATTTTCATTTTGTAAAGAAAAGTCACCAGAGGAAAAAGGCTGGAGACTCCTGTCTGTGATGCATTTTTGGTTCACTGCGGGTGGATCATTTAAATTTGTATTTTTATTTCCTACGAGACTGACTCAAATAGACAATGAGTACTGTATTTTCCGGGCTATTAGACGCGCTCTTAAGCCTCTAACCGCATCAAAAAACGACTGCGCCCCGCAATCCAGAGCGCCCCATACACGAATCCACTCGGGTGTCCCAGCACGACTTCAGTAAACTACAAACACACAGAACACACAAACACACACGGAGCAGACAGCGACCGCACAGAGAAACACACCCACAGACACACTCATCACTCCACGCCGACGAGGAACAGAACGGAGGGACGAACCGAAAAAGCCACGAGCGCAACGTGCCACTTCTAGACACGACCGAACAACTGAGTCACTGCGAACACGCCGACAATCTGTTGGTCCCAGACACACCCTCCCTACACGCCACAACTGAACAACGCCCAGAGTCACCGTGAACACCACAAACAAACAAAACCACTCACCCATCACACTGTTGGGTTTCCTTTAAAGTCCCACGAGGTTTATTTGTGAAAAAAGTTTGAAAAAAAGACCATTTAATGACAGAGCGCCTTATAATCCAGAGCGACGTATAGTCCGGAAAATACGGTATTTCATTTGAAAATAAGCATCAACCAAGTGTCTTTTTTTTCCGAGTTCAAAATGTTTTTGTTATGTGCAGAAATAAAGTTCTGTGTTCTCTGAAGCATTTGACTGATTTCATAAATGCAGCTCACTCTAGTCTTTTGTACAGAGCCACAGGTAAAAAAAAAAAGAAGATCTGCAGTGTTCTCCTCGTTTTAGTGTCAAACGTGTTTTGTGGCTCCGGGTGTTTTCTTTTCTATGGGAGACGCTCCAAACGGCTCTTTGAGTATTTAAAGGTTGTATAGAGGATTTTTTAAGGGAAGAGAAATACAGTGACCGTCCTTGTGCATGCATGACACCACCCCCTCCACAGCTCCTCAGTAGAAACACCTCCTCCCACCTCTTTACTCTACAAATCACGTTTGTTTACAGTCAGTGTGTGTTCAGAATTACTGTTGAAGTTTCCTGTCTAGAAGTAATTTAGCGACCGACGAGTCAGTTTTTAGACCCCTGCTTCAGTCGAGCACTCGCTGGAAGGAATCTCCAAGAATCACCTCAGTTTGTCTTCGCTCCTTTTCCACTTCTCTTCTTCTTTCAGAGACTTCAAAAACAGACTGGTCGTGGATTCTCGACCGACATCGCAACAAACTTTGTGCGAAATGCGAGGAAGCTACAGTTAGAAAAAGCCTCTAAGAACCGCTGCATAAACCACGTAATCCCCGCATGCCGGAGAGTCAGTTACACTAGAAACGTAGGGAGTTTGAGTGACAACCTGACAGCCAATAGATAAAGAGGGAGCCTCGCTTTCTATTGGCTGATGTTTATCTGGCCTCAACACGTCCACAGTTGATAGATTTTCATTCTTTTTTTTTTGGTCATCGCTTCTGCGTCTTTGTAATGGTATTTTAGACTTTCATTGAGAATTTGAAACAAAAAAAAATCCTCCATACAACCTTTAAGGCCGACTCCTGTTCTAATAATACAAACATTTCCATTTTCTTCTCATGCATTAAGTTAAAAGACCTGCACCTGATTTTAATACAGTCACATATACTGTATAAATATATAATATATAAATACTCCATACATCATGCATTGTGTGGTAAAAGCTGCTAAATAAAAAACAAACAAACTGTAAAATATAAACTATTCATAAACTCCTGACATTTGTACAAAGACTCAAAGGAGAAGAGCCCAGACACAGAGTCTGTCATGGAGCAATTTCAAGAGAAAAAATTGAGAACTATACTGAAATATCCTCCAGACATGTGTTTGTTGGCCTGCTGGAGTCACCTGCTCGTCTCCATAGATACAGGCAGGTTTAAAGCCCTAGTGTGGAACCTCTGAATCAGAGCAGTGACGCTGTGTAAACATCTCACCGGAGCACGTCGCTCACGCTCAGCTCGGGGATGTACTTCTGCAGGATTTTCACTTGTGCTGCGATGTTGATGCCTCTGTACATCTCCCCCAAACCGTACGGGATGTTCTTCAAAACCAACTTCTGAAGTCCTCTGGAAAATAAATATTCAGACTCATGAGAAGATAAAACATCACACTGACCTCTGCTCGAATGTCCTTTACTCCTCACACACAGACCGGGAGTTCTGTTTTTCTGTTTTGTTTCATTCACACAAACTCTGCACATTTAGACTGAGCTCTTCAAACAGAAAACACTCTGATCCACCTTGTGATGTCATCATGTGGTGATACAGGAAGTGCGTCTCTGTGTTTTCACACCTTCACTAGAATCATCGGTAGTATTTCTGTTTCCAGGTGAGTGAACGGTCGTCGTACCTGAAGGACAGAGCGTCGACCATGTCTCGTGCGTTGAAGTCGAACAGTTTGTATCCTTCTCGTTTAAAGGCCAGGACGGCGTTCGGTCCGAGCCACACGCTGCCGTCCATCCGAGGAGTGAAGTGAACCCCCAGGAACGGGAACCGGGGATCAGGAACCTGCACACGGACAAACAACAACACATCACTCTGGGGCTGAAAGTCCAAATCACACACACGAGATTCAAATCCACTTTATTTCTACACCACATTTAAGCCACAAAACAGTTTCCAAAGTGCGGCAACATTAAAAACAACAAAAGGTATAAAAATCTAAAAATAAGAGAGTGTAAATGCTCAATTTAACCTAAGCTAGATATAAAACACTTAAACAAAGCAATAAATTAATAAAATCAATAAAATAATATTAAAAAGTGAATTAAATAAATAAAAGATGTACAAAAATAACAAATATATATACTATGTGGATCTTAAAGGTGTACTTTTTCTGTCAAACGCTTTTCTCTGTGGAGATGTTGTTGCTTTGTCTGAAATGTTCCACAGTATGGTATTAAACCTTTCTATCTCCATGGAGACCAAACCAGACGGTGTTCCAGGTCAGATCTGTGGAGAGGCGACCCCGCTCACAGTCAGAATGTCTATTTTTCTAGGAATTTTTGTGCTATAAAACCAAATGTTTTAGCAATAATGTATAATAAAGTAATAATGAATAAATGTAAAGTCGATCTGTTTAAAGTCACACTGTGGAACATTCCAGGCAGAGCAATGACATCTCCATAGAAACAAACAGGTGGCAGATAAAATGAAAGATTTAAGCTGCCGAATCTCCAAATTTAACTTGAAAATCTGCATAAAATGTGGATGTAAAAAAAAATACTGAGGGCATGAAAAGCATTTCTATAGAGTTGCCAGCAGAGGGCGCCCTTCCCCGGTCAGAAATAACACTGGCACTGCACATGTATCAGGGGGTAAATGTGAAGTACTGTTACTGCTAAAAATATACTTGAGTAAAAGTATAAAGTATATATGAAGAAACAACTGAACGTACTAGTTATTAATTGCTTTTTAATATGGTTTGAATAGAACTTTTAAACTAGGGTGACCATATTTCCGTTTGTGAAAACCCGGACACCTGTGAGTCCTGTTTCAGTTCTGGTTTAGTCCTGGTTTAGTCCTGTTTTAGTCCTAGTTCAGTCGTGGATTAGTCCTCCTCTTCAGTCCTGGAATCAGTCCTGGTTTAGTCCGTGGCGTAGGCAGCACAAAAGTTTGATATAAACTCTGGTTAACGGGCAGGTGCGGTCCTGTCCTGCGCGGGTGCGGTCCTGTCCTGCGCGGGTGCGGTCCTGTCCTGCGCGGGTGCGGTCCTGTCCTGCGCGGGTGCGGTCCTGTCCTGCGCGGGTGCGGTCCTGTCCTGGGGGTCTCCAAAAATGGCCCCGTGCAGGACTCTGCTCTGTCGGCTCCATTATGGAATAAATGAATCTTCAGTTCGTTACATAAAGAAGGAGGAAAATAACAAAAGGACGACAGCAGCAATAAGTTTGAAGAAGGAAGTAAAAAGGGTTGCACCTGTCGATCCTGTCTGAGAAAAGTGTATAAAGTTTGTGCTGAGGTTTTACAGCCTTAACACAGATAGAATAATTGTAAAATATAAAGTTGATACTTGGTGGATTTCACCTGTCGCAGGTTATTTTTAGAACGTAACCCCACGATAAACGAGGGACACTGTCCTCTCACCTCAACCTGTGCACATGGACTCACACTTGTCTCGATCGGGACGGAAAACTGAGAATTTCTTGTACAAGTCACTGTTAAATGAGCTTTTGTGCTTCGGTATGTTGCAGACTGACCGACTGTTTGTGTCTCGCTCCTTCTGAGTCACAGACGCTACGAGAGACGCTCAGTTTAATTAACGGTACTGAAAACCCGGACATTTGCACCACTTTATAAAAAAAAAACCCGGAACGCCCCGGACATGACTCAAAATATGGACATGTCCGGGGAAAAACGGACGTTTGGTCACCCTATTTTAAACCAGACTTTTATACAAAATGTAATTAATTAAGTTATTTTAAACAGAGATAAAGCTTTGTGTGTTTTCTTTAGGCAGCAGGTCGGCCCAGACTCCGGGTGAGTGGCTCAGCTGCTCACGAGGGGCACTGGCCACAGATTTTATGTTTCAGTTTCAATTTGTTTTGCGTAACTGAAGTATTTATTAATTTATTAATCGTCGTTATAATCAGTGTTGGGGAGTAACAGATTACATGTACCGGAGTTATGTAATCAGAGTACAAATTATGAGTAACTGTATTCAGTTACTGTTTCAGTGAGTGGTAATTGGATTACAGTTACTTTGTTGAAATAAATGGATTACACAGAGGGATTTAACTGTTTTCATATTCTGGGCTAAACCAGGACTAAACCAGGATTAAAATCAGGACTAAATCAAGACTAAAACCAGGTCTAAAACCAGGACTAAAACCAGGTCTAAAACCAGGACTAAAACCAGGTCTAAAACCAGGACTAAAACCAGAACTAAAACCAGGTCTAAAAGCAGGTCTAAAAGCAGGACTAAAATCAAGACTAAAACCAGAACTAAAACCAGAACTAAACCAGGACTAAACCAAGACAAAAAACAGGACTAAACCAGGACTAAACAAAGACAAAAAAACAGGACTAAACCAAGACTAAACCAGGACTAAAACCAGGACAATATCAAGTAATCCAAAGTATTCAGATTACATTACTCACTTTAAGGCATTTAATGGATTACGTTACAAACTACATTTTGAGGTATGTAATCTGTAATCTGTAGGGGATTACATTTTTAAAGTCACCTTCCAACACTGGTTTTAATTATATTTGAAATTCACGATCATTGAAAGTACATTGTATTGAGATATGTATCGTATCGGGGCCTATGTATCGAGTTATGTATCGTATTGGCAATGTCTTAATGATACCCAGCCCTAGTAATAATAGTGTAATAATAGTGTAATTGCAGTGTAATAACAGCGTAATAATTATGGAAGCCGAGAGGGGTCACAACAAACGCAAACGCCGCAACAAAAAAAACCACCACAACAAATATAAATGCAACAACACACCAGAAAAAGCCACAACACATTAAAAAGCCACAACACATTAAAAAGCCACAAGACATTAAAAAGCCGCAACACATTAAAAAGCCACAACACATTAAAAAGCCACAACACATTAAAAAGCCACAAGACATTAAAAAGCCGCAACACATTAAAAAGCCGCAACACATTAAAAAGCCGCTACACATTAAAAAGCCGCAACACATTAAAAAGCCTCAACACATTAAAAAGCCACAACACATTAAAAAGCCACAACACATTAAAAAGTTGTAGTTCTTCTTCTTCACTTGCTGCTTGATCGGTCCGTCGGAAAATAGAGTCCTGCGGTCACTTCCGTTGTGGCTTTTTAATGTGTTGTGGCTTTTTAATGTGTTGTGGCTTTTTAATGTGTTGTGGCATTTATATTTGTTGCGGCATTTGCATTAAAACAGAATCCCGCGGTCATTTCCGTTGTGGCTTTTTGTTGTGTTGTGGCGTTTGTATTTGTCGCGGCGTTTGCGTTTGTTGTGACCCTCTTGGCTTCTGTAAATAACAGCGTAACCGAGCTGTTAAACTCACGGGGTAGATGTTTCCTTTGACCAGGTAGTGCTTCTCGGGCTTCAGGACCAGGTAGTCTCCTCTGAAGGGGACGATCCGAGGTTCCCTGCTGCAGCCCGAGATCTGGGACAGACGATCGGAGTAGAGCCCCCCGCAGGTGAGGACGAACCGCGAGCGCACCTGCTCCCCCTGCAGGCGCCGCGGGGGACAACAACAACAACAACAACAACAACAACAACAGGAAGAGAGAGAGTTAAGAAGAGGTTTAAAGCTGCACGTCGTTTTTCTGCTTGGCCTAGAATGTTTCACAGTATGGCATTAAACTTCTTCTTCATAATGGCAGTAACGGGTCAGATCTGTGGAGAGGCGACCCCGCTCAAGCAGTACTGAGCAAGAAAAACAGCGTTGATATTATGAAACAACGCTGGAAAAATCTGTTTAGTGCCGTACTCAGGATACTTTTAAATAAAACATAAACATGGAGACGAGCAGGTGGCGTACAGTCTGTCAGAAATGTTACACAATGTAGCTTTAAGGACTAGACTTTAACAGTATCAAAATTTTGATTCTGCCCAACCCTACTCCATGGAGACAAGCAGGAGACGTACCCTCCATCAGAAAAGATAGTGCAACTTTAAATAAAATGTGTAAGTAAAATAAACACAAAACACACTCACCTTTGTGTCTCTGATGACTATGGGAAACTTCATTCCTACAACATAAAAAATAAAGAAGAAAACATTAAATTAAACGAAAACATTAACTTTTACAAACAAAATTAAAGCTCTCACCCTCTGTGCTTCCCTCCGGACTCTCCGTCGCCATGGAGATGTCGTTCACCTCAAACTCGGTGACGACCCGACCGCCCGCCTCCTCGAAGTCCTGGCCGTACCTGAGCGCCACCATCCGCCAGTCCACGATGCCCGTGTACGGAGAGTCTATCGCCATGATGCCCTGCACGAGTGTGTTCACATGACCACGTCGTTCTCACACGGACGGAGATACAGACACACTTTACTACTGATACTGTGCAGTGACACCACGCTGGGGGTGTTCTCATGTATGTCTACGGTGGAATGTTCAGCAGTTACCATCGAGACACAATTCAAACAAATGTTTTTAAAGATTTAAATAGATTTAAAGAGCACATTTTCATTTTCCTGTGATCGGCCCAAGCGTTCATGATCCTGTTTAATATTATATTTATATTTAGCTGCACAGTATCAGTTGATTGTATTTTATACTTATTGTTATAAAATCTCCAAAAGGTAAATGCACATTTCTCTCAAAACCCAACTAACTAAACCCAAGAACCCAATATTTTACACCAGAAATACTGTTTAAAACCATGGAAACATGAGCTGCCCTTCTCACCTCCGCATGAAACATATCAGGACATGATTCATTCATTTCTGTGGATTTCTGACAGTGAAAATAATTTTAAACTGTGTCCATGTTGTAATCTGCCAGAGTATTTAAAGTGAATGAGGACTCAAACTAAAGTCATGACTCATGACTTTAAAGTTATGAAGAAGTTCCTCTGAAATAACGCAATTCAAAAAAAAAAAAAAAAAAACATCACAAAGACAAAGCCAAAATACAAAGGAGTCGTTTGGCTGAAGCCCACACACAGATTACACACGGTTTGTGTCATATACTCATATATAACTCATATATTTGTGTTTATATATAGATATATATGTGTGTGTGTGTGTGTATTCTCTCACCCTGCAGAACGGCTCCCGCTCCCTGATTCCTTTGGCGTCCACTAAACTCATGTCTCTCACGTTGTTCTTTTTGCCTCGTTCATATAAAGCCTTTAACCTGGGGATCTCCTCCTGCTCCACGGCCACGATCAGCTGAAACAAAACACACAATAATCACCGTGTTTCATACAGAACGTCTGTCTCAGTGTACAATCAAACATTTTAAATGATTATAAAAGCTATTTTTACAATTTTAAGATCTAGAAATGGTCAGATCCTACGACTAAACCCAAAATATATGTATGTATATGTTGTATAGGTTGTATATTGTTGTATATTTGTGTGTGTTATAGATACAGACCTTCCCACACCTGCTGTATTTGTTGTATAGGTTGTGTTTGGTTGTATACGTTGTGTTTTATTGCATCTATATTGTGTTTTGTTGTATATTTGTGTGCGTTCTACAGATACACACCTTCCCGCACCTGTTGTAGGGCAGGCCTTTCTTGTCGCAGTACTCGTACGCCAGAGTTGCTCCTCGGACACAGAGTCGAGCTTTCAGAGATCCAGGAGTGTAATAAATCCCACTGTGAATCACCCCACTGTTATGACCACTCTGATGGAGAGCTGCGACGAAGAGGAGAGAGGAAGAGGAGGAGAGAGGAAGAGGAGAGAGGAGAGAGAGAGGAAGAGGAGGAAGAGGAAAACAAAGAATACAAAGTTGGATTTGTGAGCAGAACTGTTTAAAAAGAAAACGATGTGTGATTGTGAGGACAGAAAGAACTGCTACAAACATTATGTAAGTTAGTCATTTTGTTACCACATTTCACTGCAAGTTATTCCACTTGAAATAAAAACAGTAAGAATATTTAATAATAGATACTAGAGTCCTGCACTGGGTCGGTTACTCACAGGTACCAGAAGGGTACGGGCAAATAGCTGCTGAAACAGGCGGGTTTTAACATTCTGGAATTTTACGGGTGGGTAGTGATTACACACCGGCGGGTCAGGACTAAATCAGGACTAAATCAGGACTAAATCAGGACTAAACCAGGACTACACCAGGACTAATCTTGGACTTAAGAGAGAGAGGGAGAACCCAGAGCACATGGAGCACGATGACCGCAAAGCGCAATCAGGCGACGGCTGCGCGCACCTTTGTGCGGCGCGGAGCTCTGCGCTGGTACTTTTGTCCCTGGTCACCCAACGGACTACACAGACGCAACTCCGAGCCTGTCCTGACAGTGAGTCCTGGTTTAGTCCTGGTTTAGTCCTGGTTTAGTCCTGTTTGAGTCCTGTTTGAGTCCTGTTTGAGTCCTGTTTGAGTCCTGTTTGAGTCCTGGTTTAGTCCTGGTCTAGTCCTGGCTTAGTCCTGGTTTAGTCCTGGTTCAGACCTGGTTTAGTCCTGGTTTAGTCCTGGTTTAGTCCTGGTTTAGTCCTGTTTGAGTCCTGGTTTAGTCCTGTTTGAGTCCTGGTTTAGTCCTGGTTTTAGTCCTGTTTGAGTCCTGGTTTAGTCCTGGTTTAGTCCTGGTTTAGTCCTGTTTTGAGTCCTGTTTGAGTCCTGGTTTAGTCCTGTTTAGTCCTGGTTTAGTCCTGGTTTAGTCCTGTTTGAGTCCTGGTTTAGTCCTGTTTGAGTCCTGGTTTAGTCCTGTTTGAGTCCTGGTTTAGTCCTGGTTTAGTCCTGGTTTAGTCCTGGTTTAGTCCTGGTTTAGTCCTGGTTTGTCCTGGTTTAGTCCTGGTTTGAGTCCTGGTTGAGTCCTGGTTTTGAGTCCTGTTTAGTCCTGGTTTAGTCCTGGTTTAGTCCTGTTTGAGTCCTGGTTTAGTCCTGTTTAGTCCTGGTTTAGTCCTGGTTTAGTCCTGTTTGAGTCCTGGTTTAGTCCTGTTTGAGTCCTGGTTTAGTCCTGTTTGAGTCCTGGTTGAGTCCTGGTTTAGTCCTGGTTTAGTCCTGGTTTAGTCCTGGTTTAGTCCTGTTTGAGTCCTGGTTGAGTCCTGGTTGAGTCCTGGTTTAGTCCTGGTTCAGTTCTGGTTTAGTCCTGGTTTAGTCCTGTTTGAGTCCTGGTTGAGTCCTGGTTGAGTCCTGGTTGAGTCCTGGTTTAGTCCTGGTTCAGTTCTAGTTTAGTCCTGGTTCAGTCTGTGGCATGTTTCTTCTGCTAATCCCTGTGAAGTGATGACAGTCAAGTCGCGTCTGTGAGTTTGTGAAACCGTTTCATTTCATTTCGTGATTGTGACTGTAATTCTTGAAGTCGAAACTTTTCAATTCATATTCTGATGGATGCTTCAGTTGAATGATTTTAATTTGTGTGTGATTCATCACGGGCACAGACGGGTAATGGGCGGGTCACAGGTGGAATGTTCACGGGTCCGGGCGGGTGCGGATTTAACTTTGATATAATCACAGGTTAACGGGCGGGTGCGGTGCTGGACTGTTTGGGTGTCGGTCTCCAAAAACAGACCTGTGCAGGACTCTGATACACACTACAATTAAACTCTTCCCTAGAAAAGCTGCATCTTCAAATAAATAATATTTCAAGGTGCAGTAAGTTTTCTAGAGGACGGTCGCCACGGAGATTTTACTGTTTTACTCTGATTATTCCACAGTTTGGAAATAAACTCGATAATCACAATGGACACAGGTTCATGTTCAGATCTGTGGAGAAGCGAGCCTGCACATATTTAGTATTTTGGCGCAATAAAACACATGTAACTGAACAAACGCACAGGACATATGTGTAATACTCTACTGTGGAACATTACAGTCAAAGAAATAAGATCTCCTTGACGACAAGCAGGAAAAATGACCTAGTGGACCTTTAAAGAATAATATTCAAGTATTTAAAGTTATTCATGGCTTCATTTATTCATGTTTTTGTCCATGTGCATGAAAAGTGTTCAACAACTAAACTCGCTCGACATTAACACTGCAGAGTTTCAAAATAAACAGTGCAGTACTTTGTCAACATGTGGTATTGTGAAATCTTTAATGTACAAAGCTGGTTTTGTCTCCACCTTCAGATATTTAGGTCCTCACCCAAAGCCATAAACTGAATCCTCTGTGACGTTTTAATTACAGCCTAAAGCTCAACTCATTCACACATCATCCACATGAGGCAGTCAAATCAGATCACCTCAGAAAACCCCAGGAGTAGAACAGGTTTCTGTTTTGTTCTCACAACACAAGGGAAATCTGATGATCAAAAACACCTGGTGACAAAAGACTTTTAGAATCACAATTAAAGGGTCAGTGTCCAATTTTTCCCCCACGTTTTATCAATTTTTTAATCATTTTTTTCTCCATTCAATAGTTTTTTCTCCAGTGTTTCATCCATTTTTTTTACCATGTTTCAAACTTTTCCCTCATGTTTCATTCATTTTTTAAAATCCTTTTTTCCATTCAATAGTTTTTCCCCCATGTTTTCTCCAATTTTTCTCAATGTTTCATAAATTTTTTCCCCCCATGTTTTATCCATTTTTAATCCTTTTTTCATTCAACTGTTTTTATTCCATGTTTCATCAAATTTTCCTCATGTTTCATTCAATTTCCCCCCCATGTTTTATCCCTTTTTTTCCTCCTTTTTTCATTCAACTGTTTTTATCCCGTTTCATCTGTTTTTTATCCCACGTTTCATCAAATTTTTCTCAATGTTTTATCCAATTTTCCCCCCAGATTTTATAAATTTTTCCTCATGTTTCATTAAATTTTTGACCATGTTTTATCCATTTTTAGCCCTTTTTCCATGTTTAATCCAATTTCTTCCCATCATTTTCCCATTTGCAAACTGCGTCTTGCCTCAGTGCAGATATATCAGCTTTATGGTTTGATCTACAGGAAGTGCACTGTTAGCATTCTAGTGGTTGTCAGCTTCTACTGTGACAGGACGACTCCGCTCTGGTCTCTGAACGTTTTGAAAAGCGCTTGTACAGTAAAGGCATCATGGTGAAGAAGGTGCATAATTACTAATTATTGAAATAATTTTTTCATATTTCCGGTCCATCAGCTGCTTGTTTCCACAGCGACGTCCTTTCTCTGCCTGGAATGTTCCACAGTGTGACATTAAACACCTCGACTTTACATTTATTCAGTAACAGGTGGTTTTACAGCTCAAAAATCCCTCAAAAAACAAACTGTGACTGTGAGCGGAGTCTTCTCTCCACAGATCTGACCTGGAACCTGGTCTGGTTTGAAGATAAAAAGGTTTAGTGCCGTACTGTGGAACATTCTAGACAAAACAATAACATCTCTATGAAGAAAAGCAGTTGACGAAGCCTCCACCAGAAAAGTGACACAGTAAAAATCAGGTACAGAGTCTTTAAGTTTAAAATGACTCTTTCAATTTTGAATATTTTTACTTTCACTTTTGTATTTGCTGCTTTAGTTTGGCCTTTTTAGCATCATTTTCCTGCAGGGGTGAATAGACAGAACCACAACACTCACATTTTCATAATCAGATAACTCCAGAAATCAGATCATGGTCAGATTTCTGTGTGTGTGTGTGTCTGTCTCTGTGTGTGTGTGTGCGTTTATTTGTTTTCCTCACAGAGTTCCTTCTCCTTCTCGACCAGGATGAAGCTCAGGTTTGGGTGTCTGAGGATCAGCTCTCGTGCTGTGGCCAAACCCACGATGCCTCCTCCCACCACGGCCACATCGTAAGTGCTGGAAACACAAAAGACAAAACATATTTCATTTGATTTTGACTCTACGAGCGCTTTACCTGCTCTATGACTCTAAAACAGAAAACAATATCAGTTTGGAAGAATAGTTTTCAATCAAGTGTGACTTTTGTTGGTGGTTTGTGTGTTTCCTGTGACTTATTCTCTGGTGTGATTCTATATTAAATGTTTTTGGTGAAGTGTGGAGAGGTTCTAGTCTTGTGTGTGAGGATCTGCTGCTCCTGTTCCTCCTGTATCACTGTCACTTGGCTCTACTGCGCATGTCTCCTGCAGAAAGAGCCTCTGTCCCGTCTGTATCATGTCAGTCGATCGCACCGTTACTTCTGCACCACTCAACTATTTAACATTTAAACTTTAAACTTATAAAGACGAAGACTGAGAAGACTGAACACACACACACACACACACACACAGAGGTTTTAACAGGAGAATCTAACAGGGCTGGATGAATATACAGAGAATAATATCAGAAAAACATGCTGCCGACTGCAGGCGCAAACACAAATTTAAAGAGCCATGTTACGTCGTTTTCTGCTGTTTTAATGTCGTTTCCTCGTCACAAACAAACCTGGACAATCTGTGTAAATTCGTGTATCATTCATTCATTTGTTTTTCAAAACAAAACCAAAAGTAAGAAAGTTTAAGTTTAGGTCCAAAAGCTCCGGTTAAATCTGTCCCTGATTTGAATGAGAGAAAAAAAAAAAAAGCTCCAGCTTGAGGAATAAAAATATGTCCGGGTAAAATTTCTGGGATTTCGTTCTAGTGCCTCAAACATAAACATCGGATTCACTTCAGTTAAAAAACAAAATCAGATTCTGCAGATTATAAACTGCGAGTTGTGAAATCTGCAGCTGAAAACGGAAATGGAGCAGAAAGAAAGTTTGGAGTGAGAGAGAAACTTGTGACACCGGGAGGATGAACCATGAAACTTTCCTGAAGTCACTGGATGATGGACAAAGTCTGGACTTCAGTGACACCGAAACCATCCTGTCGGGATTCAGAAAGACCCGAATAATAAATGTAAAGTAGAAATGTTTAAAGTCACACTGTGGAACATTTCAGACAAAGCAATGACAGTCCTGGTCTATTTCTGGTAAAGTCAATGTTCAGTCCCTCTTTTAGTCCCTGGTTTATTCCTACTTTAGTCATCACACTCACAATGTTTGTTTTTCTCTGTATTTTTGACTCTAAATCCACCTGTGATTGAATAAATGTAAAGTCGAGCTATTTAAAGTCACACTGTGGAACATTCCAGACAGAGCAATGATGTATCCATAGAAACGAGCAGGTGACGGACTCACGACCCAAAAGTTACACAGTGCACCTTTAAAAATACACAGTGTAAATTTTCGTCTGTACCTCCTCGTCTCCATGGAGATGTTTCTGATGTTATTGCTGCTCCGGAATATTCCACAGTGCGGCATTAAACGTATCCAGACGAGTAAGTGCAGGTCAGGTCTGTGGAGAGGCGAGCCACTTACAAGAAAAATGAATGTATTTTTTTTATTTTTGAGTTTTATTTTTCAGTAATAACAACAACTTTCACTATTATGGAAATTATTATTTATATTATTTGACACAAAAACACGTTCAGCAGGTTCAGCTCGAACTGGAACTGACGCTGAGTCCGTTTACCTCCAGAGGTTGAGGCCGAGTTGCTCAGAAGTGACACCGAGGATGAAGAATTGAATGGATTTAGTGATTTGGAGTGAGATGGAGAGTTTGGTTAAACTTGTTCTGTTGTTTATAGTTTATCTGAAGAACTGTTCATATGTGACGTTAACAGTCTGTTCTTCTCTCTTCTATTGTTTTTACTACAACTTGACTTTACACAGGAAATGTCTGCTCCTGATCTCTCATTTTATTAAATACATTTCCCCCAAAAGTGCCATTTTAGTCCAAAAAATACAGTCAGTGAAGGAAGTGATCAATTTGTTAAAAAATGGTGAGTTAAACCAGGACTAAACCTTTAGTGTGTTTCTCCTGACAGAGAAGAGGATGAACTTTGTGCCAGTTTTTGTTTTTGTTTCATGTGTCCAGTATTTACAGCGATATGAACTATAAACTGGGTTAAAACATCTGCGATCTCCAAACTCCAGCACAGAGTTGTGAACTTGTGACTTGCCTCGGTTCAGGTTGAAGCTACAAGGACTGTGACGTGATGTAAAGTCAAACTATTGAGTAATATTTTGCCAAATTCTGTTTATAATTGATGTTAGTGGGTCAGGAGTCCACAGTCCAGCGTGGAGGACACAGACTCAAACTTGACTTATGACACAGTTCCATCAGTATTTACAGAGGGACACGAGGCCAGGAGGTCACCGGGTTCAGAGGAGACTCTTCTGTCCTGGAAGAGGCCGAGCTCCAGTTTATGTCCACGGAAGTGAAGCTCCTGTGGCTGCAGGGACGAGACAAGAGGAAGAACTGCTACAGGAAAAACTATCTTGGTAAATGGTCACATTTTTCTATAGCGCTTTTCCACCTTCAAGGCTCAAAGCTCTTTACAACAAGGAACCACTCACCCATTCACACACCAGTGTACACAGACACTGTGGGCAAGGTGGGTTAAGTGTCTTGCCCAAGGACACAACGGCAGCATTCATCTGTGGGAGCTGGAATCACACCAGCAACCTGTGGATCTGACCCTCAACCTGGATTCGAACCGCCAACCTTTAGATTAGTGGGCGAATGCTCTACCAACTGAGCTACTGCCCTTGACACATTTTAGTTTGGATTGGACAGAGAAGGAGTAACGTTCAAGCTCCATTTCTTGAGAACATCTGCGTCATAAACTTGCAGCAAAAACACAAAAATGTGAGGCCAAAGTTGTGAATTGAACCTCACAATTTCTTCATTATATTCACCTTAAGTTAGAGACGGACGATATTTGCCGGCCTTAAAGGTGCACCATGTAACTTTTCTGGTGGAGGGTTCATCAAACGCTTTTCTCCATGGAGATGTAACTGCTCCATCTGGAATGTTCCACAGTGTGACATTAAACAGCTCTATCTTACAGTTATTCAGTTATAGGTGATTTTACAGCTCAAAAATCCCTAGAAAAACAGACACTCTGACTGTAAGCGAGGTCGCCTCTCCACAGATCTGACCTGGAACTTGGTCTGGTTTGGTCTTCATGAAGATAGAAAGTTTTAAGACTGGGTCGGTGATAATACGGTTTTACGGTTTCCCTCGGTATCAAAAAGAAGCAACAATATCAGTTTCATTATAGTCATTAAAAAGTTGTATTATAATAAGAATATTATAATTTCTTGATCCCTACATTAGTTTGCTCAGCACAAATGTGTGTTTGTATTTTCAGTTTAATGTTTCACGATTTAAAACTAACAGTGTCCATAATGTTTCTTTTAACTGTGGGGAGATGATGTTCCATTAGTTCTGTTTCGTTGTCACGTGACATGAGAGACCAAGACAAGAAGACAAGTCCGACCACAAATACTAGAACTTCTGCAATTTGGCAGCATTTTAGCTTCAGGCCACATTTGTTTACGTTTTACAGAAATTAAACTTAAAACCACACGACTCATTTACATAAACTAATGTGTGTGATAAAAACAGCTCTTTCCTTGTGTCTGATGTGGTTCAGTTTCTGTCGAAATAAAGGACACGACTCAGTGGAATATGAGTGTTCTCTCTGTGACAGAGGGGTGTTCTCTCTGTGTGTCAGAGGGGTGTTCTCTCTGTGACAGAGGGGTGTTCTCTCTGTGACAGAGGGGTGTTCTCTCTGTGACAGAGGGGTGTTCTCTCTGTGTGACAGAGGGGTGTTCTCTCTGTGACAGAGGGGTGTTCTCTCTGTGACAGAGGGGTGTTCTCTCTGTGTGACAGAGGGGTGTTCTCTCTGTGACAGAGGGTGTTCTCTCTGTGTGACAGAGGGGGTGTTCTCTCTGTGACAGAGGGGTGTTCTCTCTGTGACAGAGGGGTGTTCTCTCTCTGTGTCAGAGGGGTGTTCTCCTCTGTGTCAGAGGGGTGTTCTCTCTGTGTCAGAGGGGTGTTCTCTCTGTGTCAGAGGGGTGTTCTCTCTGTGTGACAGAGGGGTGTTCTCTCTGTGACAGAGGGGTGTTCTCTCTGCGACAGAGGGGTGTTCTCTCTGCGACAGAGGGGTGTTCTCTCTGCGACAGAGGGGTGTTCTCTCTGTGTGACAGAGGGGTGTTCTCTCTGCGACAGAGGGGTGTTCTCTCTGTGTGACAGAGGGGTGTTCTCTCTGTGTCAGAGGGGTGTTCTCTCTGTGACAGAGGGGTGTTCTCTCTGTGACAGAGGGGTGTTCTCTCTGTGACAGAGGGGTGTTCTCTCTCTGTGACAGAGGGGTGTTCTCTCTGCGACAGAGGGGTGTTCTCTCTGCGACAGAGGGGTGTTCTCTCTGTGTGACAGAGGGGTGTTCTCTCTGTGTCAGAGGGGTGTTCTCTGTGTGACAGAGGGGTGTTCTCTCTGTGTCAGAGGGGTGTTCTCTCTGTGACAGAGGGGTGTTCTCTCTGTGTCAGAGGGGTGTTCTCTCTGTGACAGAGGGGTGTTCTCTCTGTGAGAGGGGTGTTCTCTCTGTGTGACAGAGGGGTGTTCTCTCTGTGTCAGAGGGGTGTTCTCTCTGCGTGACAGAGGGTGTTCTCTCTGTGACAGAGGGGTGTTCTCTGTGTGACAGAGGGGTGTTCTCTGCGACAGAGGGGTGTTCTCTCTGTCAGAGGGGTGTTCTCTCTGCGACAGAGGGGTGTTCTCTCTGCGACAGAGGGGTGTTCTCTCTGTGTCAGAGGGTGTTCTCTCTGACAGAGGGGTGTTCTCTCTGCGACAGAGGGGTGTTCTCTCTGTGACAGAGGGGTGTTCTCTCTGTGACAGAGGGGTGTTCTCTCTGTGTGACAGAGGGGTGTTCTCTCTGTGTGACAGAGGGGTGTTCTCTCTCTGCGACAGAGGGGTGTTCTCTCTGCGACAGAGGGGTGTTCTCTCTGTGACAGAGGGGTGTTCTCTCTGTGACAGAGG